ACTGCCACTGTCACCGCGACCACAGCTACTGCTGCCCCTACTGCTACGTACGCTCTTCTGCTACTCCCACTCCTACTGCTACGGCTACAGCTACTGCTGCTTCTTCTATACGACGACGACAATTGCCATTCCTACCCCTGCTGCTCATCGAAATCATCGTGCTTAGCATTGGGAGCATGTGGCCCTGCAGGCTGCGATGCTCACTCATACCGAGAAGCAGTTCCCATGGGCAAGACCACGATGTCCCGGAGTGCAGTTGAAGCGCCACCGGCTGAGATTCCTCGCAAATTCAAGCACATGGTTCGTCTGATGTCGTGCTGTACCAGATTGACACCATCAGGCTCATAAAGGATCTTGCGAAGAAGTGGAAGGGTGCAGAGTATGATTTGTTGCGGCACAACTGCTGTCATTTCTCAGTGGCTCGCTTAGAACTGTGTGGGTGCAGGCAGCGGTTTTGTTTCTTTTGCTACGGAGACCCTGTGTAAAGGTTACCTGCCTCAAGAGACTATTTGTGCATTGCTTGTTGATCTCAACAGCCGCGAGGATGCTTTATGCTTGGCGCTCGGGGTGGGACACGTCCCCGGCTGGGTCACCAGCTTGGCCGGAGTCGGTGCCATGTTGAGGACGGGGGCAGCGACAAAGCCTCAAATCTGCAAAAGACCTCCTTCAAACAACCTCTTGAAGCAGTCGCAATAATAGCGTCATAGCTCAGCAGGAGTGGCACTCGCCTGGCTGCAGTTGGAGCAGCTGCCGCTGCATCCTGAGACCAGAGCGCTTTAAAGGGTCCTCGGTTCTGTGCAGAGAACTCCCAGCCGTTGGTCTGTGTCAGGTGCCTCAGCTTGCAGTGCAAGGCTTCACTGCAGTGGCCGAGCTGCTTGCAGGGCCGGACACCGAGGCCCGGCACGAAGCAAGGAAGCAACCCAGTCACATTCATGCGTGGACATGGCTGTGAAGTCTTTTGTTTCCCCCCTTCACGTGTAGCTGCATTGAACACATCGCTTCTGAACAGGAGTCGGAAGGCCACCTCGGAAATCCAAAGCCCCTGGAGGCGAATCGCAGAATGTGGCGATGGGTGTTCAGCGCACGAGTTCAGGGATGTTTTGCTGTAGTTAGATCTTCGGAAGCATCCATTCAGAGATGCCAGATCGTGGTGTCAGGACAGAAGTCCTGCAGCAGAGGCACGCAGACCTGACCCGATGCGCACTTGCCTCAAATACAAGTGCAGATTGCAAGCTTGCTCGATTCCTTCTGTGTGCTTTTTTCCCGCCACGCCTGGAATTTGATCGTCCGAGGATGTCATGTTGAGGGTGAGCTGCAGGATGCGGCGAGGTATGGAGGATACAAGGCTGCGTGTGAAACTGACCGCAGACTCAGCGGCTCGGTTGCCATATGATGAAATTCTGATGTTCTGATGTGAGATCAATGGTACATGGAATGACCCGTAAGGGTGATGAGCAGTGCAATTTCTTTACTTTCCTTCCCATCATGGATTCTATGCTCGGAAGGTGCAGCCAACTCAGATGGTAGTCCCTCTCCAACAAGTCCAGCACTCACAAGTCCTCCTTCAGCTACAAGGCGCACTTATTGACTGACTCCCCAGCTTCAGGGATTCAAGGCACAAGAGCTGACATCATGTTCTCATGACCATGACATTGAGTCCCCGCATCGGGCGAAAGTAGGCTGGAGTCTCATGCGAAGCTGGCCGTCGGTGATGCCGTCGAGGTTTTCAGCAACTCCCGCATCTTGACTGTTTTCGCGATACCCAGCAGGGCAGAAGAGTGTCCTGCGCTCGAGGTCAGCTCTGGTGTTCCGGAGAAGTCAAGTCCCTCGATTTGCAAGGGTCCCGACCTTGGCGGTGCGGCTCGGGTTTTGGGGCAGATTGCAGTACATAGAGCATGTATCAGTCATAAGTATGTGCGTATGTGTGTGTGTGTGTGTGTGTGTGCGTATGATGTACATATACATATACATATATATATATATACACACATACATATATATATATATAGGCACAACACGATTCATTCGGCTATAGATGCAACCAACCCATACAAGACACGCCTCGCCTCTTCGCACCTGCCGAGTCCAATTTGGTGATGGAGCCATATTCGCCAGATGCATCCTCATTCCTCATAGCCGTTCTTGCGACATCTGGCAGGTGGCTCCGCAATTTGTCAAGAGCCTCTTTCCCATCTTAACATCGAGTATCAATCTGTATGCCCTCGACCTTTCCGGGAGTCGAAACGCAAACTGTGTTGCTGCTAGCCAGCTTGTCCTGGGTCGAGCGGCGTCTAGGCGGCCTGATGATTAGCTGCACAAACATGGATGGACTCCATGTGACGATCATCCGCCACTCGAGTTGAGCGACTTCCGGCTCCTGTTGCTCTTAAGACGTCACGGTAACTTTCGCTTACTCGCTTCCGCCTCGTCGAATCAGTGTTTTGAGCTGGCCTGGTGAGGTCTCCGCCTGCTGTGGAAGTGGTTTTCTGGATACCTGGCTCGCCAGACGTCGGCACTGGCGAAATGGCTGCGAAAAAGGCTTGGATGAGAGTGCGACAATTTTCGTTGCCATCGTTGAATGTCTTTTTGTGTTCTCTCGCTCACGACGGCTCTCGTCATCATTCTTTGATGCCAGGTGGCGCTGGGCTCCAAGGAGACCGTTCCTGCTGTGGCTCTTGGTTGTGCATCGTGTCGCTCACTGCAAAGACTGAAAGGACTTGCGAAAGTTGTTCCTTGGCTGAAAGTTTGTATGCCGATGTAGGGACACCATCATGTTGGTTTCAAACTGAGGAAGAGACCCTCTGAAACCGCCGGTTCACCAACCTGGTCCGTGGGAGACTGTGTGGAAGTGCCGGGCGCTCTGTGGCTGTCGAATCTCTGCGTTCTGAACAAGCTATCTGAGATCGGCTCCGCGAGAGTGGATTTTGTCCATCCTTCTTACCCCGTACACCTTGCCGGACGATATCTCAACGCAGCCCCTGCTGCCAGCTAAGGTTCAGCAACTCCAAGAACTCTTGGTGCTCAGGTCGCATCACACAGGTCTCCTCAGACAAGGCCCATGTCTTTGTTGATTCGTCGTTGCTAGTGACAAGGGACACTGAAGTTCGCCAGCAGCCCGGTGACATTCTGCTTGCTGGCGAGGTGAAGGTCGTGTACCAGTCACCCGGAGCATCCAACGACGATTGGCTCGAAAAGGAGCTGCTGGGCCAGCTACCAGCTACTTCGAGAGTCGAGCTTTTTGCTTATCGGGTGCGAAGATTTTTGAAGCTCTAAGGCTGCTGATGGGATCTGATGCATTGAGGAAAGTCCAGGCATCGGAGGTGGACCTGCCGGTGAGCCCGAAGAGGAAGTTCGCATGGAGTGAAGCCGAGGAGTCTGCATACAAGGTCGCCTTTTCACAGCTGCGGCCCAAGAAGCAAACTCCCCAAGTGCTGGACGCGAATGTCCTGGCCGAGTACTTGAAGACCTCGAAGCTTCCAAGGAAGGTGCTGAAAGAAATTTGGAAGGCTTCCGTGAGGTCTTCCACCCAAGCAGACTTCGACGAGTTTGGAGCCTGTTGCAGACTCGTGGCCCATTGCCAGAAAGCAATAAAGGAGCGCGATCAGGCAACCATAGAAGTTATGGAGCAGGCAGGCACACAGCTCAGGCAGCTGGTTGTTGAGAAGTTCATGGAGGAAGCCCCGACGACACTGCCTGATTTTTACGGCGGACCAGCGGGCTCAGGGCACTGATTGTCAAGGAGAATCAGAAGGCATTCCGAACCAACGCCTCCTCGACGCGACAAGGGATCCGGAGCCTGGCGATCGGCAATCCTGGACTTGCACCGAAACAAGACAAGATGCCCAACAGATGGCTACAGCGTCTTCGTGGGCCCTCAGCGACTTCTCCGGTCGGTGCGCGTCGCCGTGGACCACAGCCGGCTGTCCGAACCGTGGATTCATGTCGGATTCAAAAAAGGATGTCGTGGAGGTTTTGCTTGTTTGCTTGGCCGAGAGCCGAGAGCCGGACAGCCTAAGCCATAAATTTGTTTTTTTACCTGGTTCCTCCGGCACGGGCAAGACGTGACTGGCGCAGCGACAGCCGTGGGCTCGAGACGGGGTCCAGTTGTGAAGTCATCCTGGGGCTTCGAATGTACATAGTGCAACGATATCGTCCAGACATATCGTTGAGACTTGCAACTAGCAGCGCTCCTCTGCCAGTGCTTGTGCGGCGCTAGGAGGCCTGCCGCTTTGATCCTCCTGTCAAAGACGCAGTCAGACCATGTCAGACCACTCGCAGGCTTGCAGGCATCGGATGAAGCAGAGGCATGGCCGCACGCCGCAAATTCTGCTTGCAGAGTACAGCAACTGAGAGTGGCGACAGTCTAGCCTACCAGACGACGGCGAAAGACTTTGGCAGTTTGCTGCAAGCAGCTACATGGGAAGGTAGTGGCGCCGATGCCGCGACCCTCAGCGCGGCAGGCGTGAGCAACAAGTTAGGCAGAGACAATGTAGCAGAATGCAGCTTTTGCAATGGCATATTGTCCCGCGTCGTCTTCTTGTCGTCGTGCGTTGCGGTTGCTGCTGCCGTTGCAGTTGCTGTTGCTGTGGTTGCTGTTGTTGCTGCTGTTGATGTTTGTGTTGTCGTTGCCGTTGTTGTCGCTGCTGTAAGTTCTAATGCCAGTCTACGGCTGCTAATGCTAATTTGCTGCTGCTGCTGCTGCTGCTGCTGCGGCAGACGTGCTTCTGTGAGTGTTTGGGAAAGTTGTGCTTGTCTGGGAGAGTCGTGTCGACGCAAGGCACGATGTCCGAGACTGTTGCCATTCTTTTGCCCTGTCTTTCGGACTATCGGAGGCATTCGGGTATGCCTTGTGTTGCCGTCCTGCTTGCACCTCTTGCTCAGTCGGTGTCAGCATTGGAGCTCGTTTCTTCAGAGCCCTTCTTCGCTTTTTGCAGCCATTTTTGCCCACAGCAAAGCAGTTAGAAGAGCGAGGTGGGAACTGGCCATCGACTGTCGTGAGCATGAAGGTTTGTCTTGCAGCTGCTTTTGCTGCGGCCTTCACCGCGACAGCGATGTCACAGGACACTCCCGCTGAGCTCCTTCGTGAATTGCAGGCCCAGAAGGCGTTGTTGGAGGAGCAGCGAAAGGAGCTGAAGCAGATGACCGAAACCCAGGAGAGCATGGCTGGCGCCATGGATTCAGCTTGGCTGGTCCTTTGTGGAGCACTGGTCATGTTCATGCATGCAGGACCGGATTTTTGGGAAAGGATTTGTACAGATCGGGCGTCGACCTCTTTAAGGGGCGCACGCCTTCCAAACTAACACACTGGTCATGTTCATGCATGCAGGATTTGCCATGTTGGAGACTGGCTGCTGCCGCGCAAAGAACGCCTCGAATGTCCTAATGAAAAATCTCGTCAATGTGCCTTTGCCATAGTTGGGTAACATGTCATATTTTTACGGGTAGTTAATCCAAGTAAGGCATACAAACTCAATTCTTGGATAACTACTATCCCATCCATGAACTACGTAGGTGTCAGTTGGCACATTGGGTTGGTGGATGTTTGGCTGGGCCCTTGCCTATGGCTCCCAAGCCGGGTCTTTCATTGGCACAGATGGCTTCTTCGGCCTGGGTTTCTACACCAAAGATGCATCGGGGAATATCGTTCCTGTGGAGTGTGAGGAGGGGAACTGCCAATCCACGATGCTGAGTTGGTTCTTCCAGTGGGCCTCTAGGATGTTCAGAGGTATCATCTTATTTTCACTTCTGTGTTTCTAGTTCCCATGAGTCCTAGTTTAATTTTGACTAGCCTGCTGCACACTGAGTCTCTGAACAGCCTAGGCCTTCTGCACAGCTGGCGCCAACCCGAGTTGTCGGGTCCTCCTATCGACGCGTGACTGTAGGTTCTCGTGTACTTGTTTTCCTTAGGTGGACCAGCGCGCATTCGTGTTGGAACCTAGGCGCCACCATCGTGAGCGGATGCGTGGCGGAGCGTGTCAAGAGTCCCACCTATGCTTTCTTCGCGTTCTGCATGACGAGTTTTATTTACCCGGTTGTGGTGGCATGGACCTGGGGTGGTGGCTGGCTCGCCAGCATCTTTGATGTGGGATACATGGACTTCGCCGGCTCAGGCCAAGATTTAAGCACCGAAACATAAACTGTTGAAACCCACCCCTTGAAGGGATGTTACCTAAGAAGAGTGTGTCTCGGTGCCTCTTTCGGCCCCTAAACCCTAGAACGTAGACCCCAAACCCTTAAAGCCCGAAACCCTAAGTTCTAAAACCCTAAACCCTCCCTGCACCTACAGGTGTTGTCCATTTCACGGGTGGAGTTTGTGGCCTCGCTGGCACGATCATCCTCGGCCCCCGGAGGGGACGCTTCGAGAACCCGGAGGAGTTCGAGTACCACAATGTTCCACTGAGACCTGCCGGCACTTCTTACCCACAGACACAGAAATGATGTCGTGTTGCGTTGTATGTTGTACGAGGTGACAAAAGAAAGAACAACTAAGGGTCGTGCTCGGAACCTTCGCTCTTTGGTTCGGCTGGTATGGCTTCAACCCAGGCTCCACCCTCTCAATGCACGATAAGGAGATGGGTGCCCTTGCAGCGCAGGTGGCAATGATTTAGGGTTTAGGGTTTAGGGCGGCTACCACTTCGGCCTGGTGCTGTCCACTTCCTCTTTTACGCAGGTGGCAATGAACACCACTCTCTCCGCCGCCACCTGCGGCATCACCGTCTTCTTGCTGAAGTTCGTGCTCGTGCGCAAGTACGATGTCGGGGCTCTGTGTAACGGCATTCTTTCGGGCTTGGTTTCCATCACTGCGGGCTGCGGAAACATGGAGTGCGGCAGCGCAGTTCTCACCGGCTTCATTGGTGCTTTCTTCTACCAGGCGGCATCCAGTCTCCTTGTGAGACTGAAGATTGACGACCCCGTGGATGCCAGTGCAGTTCACGGAGCCTGCGGCATTTGGGGACTTCTCGCCGCTGGTCTCTTTGATTGGGGGAAGGGCTTCGACCACTATCACGGCTGGAGCGGTTTCGGCTGCATGACCGGCGACGATGGTGCGTGCCGCCATGGTCTGGGAGGTGCAGCCGTTGGAGCCCAGATTGTGATGATTCTGGCCATCATCGCGTGGGCAGGGACGCTGTCCACTTTGTCCTTCCTGGTCCTGAAGTTTTCGGGACTTCTTCGTATTGGCGAAAACATTGAGAAGGTCGGCTACGACATGCACTCGCACTCTCCGCCGAAGGCCTACGCATTCAATGGCCATGACCCAAAATCATCATCCAGCGAGGAATCCGGCTCAGAGGGGTGCTTATGAGTGGGAACGGGAAGCAGTGCAGCTCATCGGAATCAATCCCGGCGGTCTCGTTTGGAGCCCATGGGCGTGATTTTGAGACACTTGCCGCAGGTCAGACTGTGTACAGGCTCCTGGTGGCTTTTAATCATTGGTCGATGAGTAAGTGACGTGCGGTCCATCATGCGGTCACTATGCTCAGGTGCACATAAGTGGCATCATTTCCAGACCAGATCTGTCTATAGCAGCCCTGGATCGAGCTGTAAAGGCTTTTTTCTGCCGTAGACTGTTAGATGATCGGCTGCCTCACCTGTAATGTTAGCCTTGGTTTGCTCAAGGTTTTCTCGTTTCTGCGTGGTTCGTGGTGGACAGTTGCATGCTGAAATCCTGGAACCTGGCGCGAAAGGTTTGGATCGTGGCAAGGGTGCCCAAGAAGGCAGTCGGGTTGCCTTGGCAATTTGGTTTCGAGCCATCCGTGTGACCTGTCGCGTTGCAACAGGCTCTTTTGGTCGAAGCCACGTAGCCACAGTCCACACATGTCCACACCCCTGCATTCGTTTGCGATGTTTGTCCGGGCTTATATTATCCTGCTCATCCAACGTGAGAGCAGCCAGAACTTTGACTGGCATGAGCCGGTGGGCTGGGCTTCTTGGTACGTGCCTTGCAGTGCATCAGGGGCCAGTACTGTTAGTGCGGCGCACCACCCTGAACTCATCCAGGTCCGTTCTCCCACTGCTGTTTGACTGTCGTGCTACAGACTTAGTCGTCTTTTATATCTGCTAAGTTTACATGCCGCAGGTTGATCCATTGAATTCCATTGAGTCCTTGGGTTTCGTCACTGCGCCCGAAGACCTCAAGACCCTTCGGCCCAACCGTGACAGCACACATGCTCTAGCCGCAGCTCTAGGCCTGGGTAGTATTTCGCAGATGCGGCCCCCGAAGCCAACGTGGCAGGTGTTGCCGGCAAGGTGGTGGGCGAGCACTTGAAAGACCACGAAGCTTGCAAGGTGCAGGCTGGCAACTATTAACCGTAGACGCAAGCTAAACAGTGCAGGCAGCTGGTCCTGGAGAAGATGGAGGAAGCCCTTTCAGCGCACCTGCGGGCTCAGCGCAGTGACGGACTAGGAGAAGCGGCGCCGGCGTGCTGGCCACGTCGCGGCTGGTCGTGTCCTCTCCTGGACGACATAAGGATCAAGTCTGCTTCCCTGCAGTTTGTGTGCGCGATCCGATGATCCTATTCCCTCACGTGCCGGGAGCGCCTCGAAGGCGGCCTTCCGAACCCGCGCCTTCTCCAGGTCGCCAATGGCAGACCCTGGCAATCAGCCGATGGCCCTGAGAGACTTCCCTGGTTCAGGACGGTGCATCGCTGTGAGCAGCGGATGGAAAACGACCGACGTGAAGGGTGGTACTGTAAGGTTCGCTCGACAGAGAGCCCTGTTAATGTCGTGGCAGTTGAAGCACAACCACCCGCAATGGTCAGTGCCCGAAACAGCGCTGGCGCTGGTCGATCATGAATGGAAGCAAAGGGCTTTCGGAACGTCGCGGGTCACCCATGATAGGGATCACATTCGCGGGCCCTGTCTCAGAATCCAATTAGTCTGCAAGTGGCCAGACCTTCAGGAGTGGTATTCAGTCCCAAAGTTGAAAACGACCCTTAGAACACAAACCAGGTCCAGGCCTGTTCTCAAAGGGCTCGGAACAATTGCACACGTACACACACACACATATATATATATATATACACATCATATGTATATATATAAATACATCATATGTATATATATATATATGTATTCATGCATACATACACATGTCTACATACATTACGTGCACATAGATAGATGTGTACTCTATACATATATACACATACATAGGTGTGTGTATATATAGATATAGATATAGATATCTGTATATATACACGTAAATAGTCATATATTCATTCGCTGAAGTCCCTATATCATACGACTGTAGCTAATACTACGTTCCCCGACATTCCTATTCAATTTTGTCAGGCCCTTTTTGTGCCTCCCTAAATCCTGAAATCTAGACTCAGCACGTGGTGTATGTGTCACACGAACCGAGAGACCTCGTCTGGCGAGTCCGAGTTGCGAGTGTTTAAACCCTAAACTCAAAACCTGAGGCCATGCCTGCCTGATGAGTGTGTGAGTCGAAACCGTCCGAGTGTGAGCGCCGAAACCCTAAATCGCACAGAGGAGGTTTGCCTCGAAGTCAAACCAGTGGTTGTCTTCTTCGGCGCAGAAGATCAATTCCCACAGGGCTCATTTTATTCTAAGTTCCCGTTTAGTCAAGTTTAGGGTTCCTTTAGGGGTCCCTTTAAGAGCTCGGAGGTTTTTTTTGTTGTTCAGGCGTCTCGGCGATGCTTCTGCTATGGATATCTTTGCAAGGTTTGCTGCTGGCCCGGGATGCTCACGCAGCTTTCTCGACTGGATGTGCTCAGATCGGGAAACGGCTCGGCTTGAACCTAACATACTTTTGGATGCTGTCAAGGAAGCATCTCGTGCGCAAATCTAACGAACGCGACAGCGAGAGGCGTTTTGAGAGTCGCGCGAATGCGGTGTCTAAGCTGATCAACCACTTGCTGCCACAAGCCTGCCCCTGTGCCGTTGTTGTGTCTTCAGCATGGCTATACAATATGTGGATGCAAAGTCTGGATAGCACGGCGTACACCAGGAATGCTTACGAGTACATCTGGCACACCCTAAACTTGGAGGAAAAGATTCTTCAGGAAGCCCTGGTGCGCTGCAATTTCAATGCTGCCCATGGGTGGCCGGTGAGATATGCTTTACAGCTCTACCGGTACGCAGGCATCAAGGTGAAACAAAGGATCGCCGACGTGGATGCCTTTTATACTGGCTGGGGGTCTCAAATAACTATCACGGATGACCAGCATGTTCAGGCACTGGCAGATGCATCCGCAATCTTCGGCCATCTGAAGCTTGAGTGGTGGCCTTGTCGGGGGACACTCATTGCCCTGCTACGCCACGGCAAGCGAAGTGGCCTGTTATCGAACGGGAAAGTTGATGCTGTCGACCACGATATTGATCTCATGGTGGCTTTGCCATCTCTCCAACACTGGCCAAAGATCCGGGCCTCCATTCGCCAGATGTTGCTGGAACGAGGTTGGGAGACCTGTATTGGCGGGTACTCATTCAAGACAGAAACTGCATTGGCAAGGGCCAATGCCCACGAAGATATGCTGATGTGCACAAAGGGAAATCCGAGAGTAGACCTCGACATTGCCACCTACATCACCGAGGGCTCTGTCCTTTTTGCCCAGAAGTACTGCTTGCCCCAAGGGCTGGGAGCCGACTGCTGGGTCTCTCATGATGGCACTTTCCACGGTAGTCGGGGCAAACTTCGCCTCGCTGCTGTCCGACCCCTCGGCCGTTGCAAGGCCGGGACGCTTTCAGTTCCATGCCCAAGAAAGCCCCTTGAGGTACTAAAAGCTTCCTCACCTCCTTATGCCAACATGAGCTGCGTGGCATTGCCAGATGTGGCAGACCGGATCCAGCATGGCACTTACGCGAGTGAGAGGAACAGCTGGATATCTGAAGGTTTGACACTCGAGGATGTGGACATTTTGCGTACTCGTGCTGCGGAGCTGGACAGGGAAGGGTACATGTCCATGGCTCCTTATTTTGACAATTGCCGGAGGCCTGCTGCGGCTGCATGATGGTTCCGGGGCTGGTGTGCTGGTCTGTGACAAGTTTTGCACCAGATGTGCAAATTTCAGGGAGTGGGGTCGGATTAATGAATTAGCTGTGACTACATTTTCTGCTCATTCGTTGGTCCCTCTGCATGTATTTGTATTGGGGCAAAATAACAGTAACTTCCTAAACTCTATTCTAAGTATCAAGGCCCTTATGTTCGCCAGGATGAAAGTATCCGAGCGCCTACCACACAGCCGGCTGACACTGGATCAATGAAGTCTGCAAAAGATGCCCAAGTGCTTTAGAGTTCAGGGTTAAGGATTAAGGTGAGGATTGCTACCATCCCAATCTAGAAATGAAAAGCGTGGCACTAGAAAGCTTACAAGCTCTGTATCTTCCCACGCCAGAAGCTTGCGGGCCGTCCAAGTCTAGATACCAGTACCAGCACAGTATCCCCTGTGCTCCTGCAGCCAGAGCGTGCGGCCTCCACGCAGACTCAACTGGCCGCCGTTGCGAGCCTCGCCAGGATCGTCGCAAGTCACTGCCCGTGTGGGACTTCCCTCGGCACCACAAAAGTCCAGATTAACCTCACTGTGGTTCAAGCACAAGAACTGGATGAGACGAGTTAAAGTCTCGTCGGAGACAGCCTCAATTTGATGTTGTTGGCGGGTGTTCGATGGTGCCAGAGATACTAGGCACGGCCACAAGACAGAAAGTTGCCGCATATGGAGAAACGCATAAAAGCAAGCCGCAAAGAAACAAATTGTTCGCGCGGCTTAGGTGGGAACATTAGTGATAATGGTTTTGCAAGGGATAAGAAGGTTCCGCACATGCTTGGCTGGCAAGTGACGCTGAGATCCAGCAGCTCAGTCTCAGAGAGTCGAGCAGTGCGGCAGCTTCAGAGGCCTGCAACGCGGTATGCGTCTCCGATGAAAGCATCCGCAGCAGTATTTGTTCAGAGGCAAGTGGCTTGTGAATTGTTGCCAACAGACACTTGGTGGCAGGCATCGGTTGACGAACTTTCTTGCAGGCCTTTGGCTCAGGCTGTTGCGTGATCATGGGCCTAGGAAAACAGGCTAGCACCGCGACAGCACGAGAGAGATCGACAACTGCCTAGACAGAATGTAAAGACACACTTCTACGAAGCAACGCCGTCTATGTCAATTTCTGTATAGTCAGAAGCACTCCAGATCTACAGCCCGATAGTCCGAACAGGGTACGTGCAGACATGAATCGCCAGCCGGGTCTTCCCGCAGAAACTGAGCTGGCTCAGTTGCAGGACTGCTGTTCGCCAAGACTTGTGCGTCCTACGGTCACATGTTGGCAAATGCTTTGATGCAGTGCAGTGCTGTTGGCTCGAGCGGTCCTCCAAGCCCAGCAGCAACTAGCCGGTAGTCATCCTGTCAGCAGAACTGCCCCAGCGATGAATTACGGACGTTTTGGCAGGCGGCTGACAATGTATATGTTACATAACGTGCAGCGATAGCTTTGAAGCATAATCACGACCGAAAGAAGCAGCTTTCCTTTGCCAGAGCTCGTGAGCCTGATGGAGGTCCGACCGGGCTGCTTGCTTTTGGGACCATCCTGTTGCAGTCGAGCCGCTCGCAGCCTTGCAGGCATCGGACGAAGCGGATGGCATGGCTGCGCGCCGCAAGTTCTGCGTGCCGCTTTTCATCCCCTCCTTACTGCAAGGAAAGAGTACAGCAGCGCGACGCTTAGAGTGGAGACAGATTAGAATAGACGACTGCCGGGAATGTTCATAGTTTGCTGTCATTGTGGGCCAGCGACTTCGTGAAAGGTGGTGACACCCATGCTTCCAATCTTCATTCAGGAAGATCTTGGGGGAGTGGGCCCCAGTTGCAGCAAGCTGTGGGCGACCAAGACTCAGATGATCTTGTTGGATTCGAGGAAGTGTGGCCGATGTCGGGCTGGTGGCTTCAACTTATGCCCTTGCGCAAGTGGCAACTTCGGTACCCATGGGCTTTGTCCTAGCCCACTTCAACCACAGGCTACTGTAGGGCTTTCCGAGCGCTTGGCACTGCAGTGCATGTGAAATCACGTGAACATGGGCCATGGACCGTTCGTTGAAGTGCCAGGCAGTCTTCGATGGCTGCGCTTGCTGTTTGCGTGCTGCACCCCGCTTGCAAAGAGGCTGCACCGAGAAATACAGGCAAGGCGAAGGCAGAACGCCGTGCAAGCTGATAGGTCACACTGCTTATTGTTAATTGCTTGTCTCAACTATTCGGAGAAACCAAGCTACAAATCGTCGAAAATGCTAGAACCCATGCGCCGATTCGCAGGACGTCCCTTCTGGCTTGTCAAAGTTCGAGCATCCTTCAGTTGCTTCTGATCCGCCTCTCGGCTAAGCTTGCGAAAATCCCCCTAGTAACTTGAGTGTCATGCAAAATTGTGTGTGGGAGTTGTTTGCTGACAGGTCGGGCCGTTCGTTTGTTTGTCCGTTTGTTGCAGCGATCTTCGAGACATTTACCCTTTGTTTTGCAGCTGGTGCATCGTGAAGTCTGGTTGCACGCGATGTGCATGCATGGTAATTCGCGGTTGCCTCTCGCCGCCATCGTGCTCGCTATTTGCAGCCATTTTTGCCCACAGCAAAACACTTAGAAGAGCGAGGTTGGACTGGCCATCGACTGTCGTGAGCATGAAGGTTTGTCTTGCAGCTGCTTTTGCTGCGGCCTTCACCGCGACAGCAATGTCACAGGACACTCCCGCTGAGCTCCTTCGTGAGTTGCAGGCCCAGAAGGCGTTGTTGGAGGAGCAGCGAAAGGAGCTGAAGCAGATGACCGAAACCCAGGAGAGCATGGCTGGTGCCATGGATTCAGCTTGGCTGGTCCTTTGTGGAGCACTGGTCATGTTCATGCATGCAGGACCGGATTTTTGGGAAAGGATTTGTACAGATCGGGCGTCGATCTCTTTAAGGGGCGCACGCCTTCCAAACTAACAGACTGGTCATGTTCATGCATGCAGGATTTGCCATGTTGGAGACTGGCTGCTGCCGCGCAAAGAACGCCTCGAATGTCCTAATGAAAAATCTCGTCAATGTGCCTTTGCCATAGTTGGGCAACATGTCATATTTTTACGGGTAGTTAATCCAAGTAAGGCATACAAACTCAATTCTTGGATAACTACTATCCCATCCATGAACTACGTAGGTGTCAGTTGGCACATTGGGTTGGTGGATGTTTGGCTGGGCCCTTGCCTATGGCTCCCAAGCCGGGTCTTTCATTGGCACAGATGGCTTCTTCGGCCTGGGTTTCTACACCAAAGATGCATCGGGGAATATCGTTCCTGTGGAGTGTGAGGAGGGGAACTGCCAATCCACGATGCTGAGTTGGTTCTTCCAGTGGGCCTCTAGGATGTTCAGAGGTATCATCTTATTTTCACTTCTGTGTTTCTAGTTCCCATGAGTCCTAGTTTAATTTTGACTAGCCTGCTGCACACTGAGTCTCTGAACAGCCTAGGCCTTCTGCACAGCTGGCGCCAACCTGAGTTGTCGGGTCCTCCTATCGACGCGTGACTGTAGGTTCTCGTGTACTTGTTTTCCTTAGGTGGACCAGCGCGCATTCGTGTTGGAACCTAGGCGCCACCATCGTGAGCGGATGCGTGGCGGAGCGTGTCAAGAGTCCCACCTATGCTTTCTTCGCGTTCTGCATGACGAGTTTTATTTCCTGCCCGTGGGCGACCTCCTCGTGGTGGCAGGGGTCCAACGAATGCCTACAGCGCGACGAGCTCGACAATACTGAGGATGATTACCACGACGACGACAAAGAGGTCGACTACATGAGTGATGTTGGCAATCAGGACCACTGGTGCTACGTTCTTGTACAGCTGGGAGCGCTTAATTAGAGTCCGAGGGACATTCTGGTCTGGGTGTACAGGTTTTGCAGGTTCACGCTGCTTTGTACAGGTTGGTGGGAAGCATCGCTGGAAAGGCGGTGTTGGATGATTGAGGATGACTTGATTGGTGCGCTAACACGCGCCAGTCAAGCAGCATAAAGTGGTTTGCACAGTTCAGAGTTGTTAAATCTTTATGAGGACGGTTGGGTCCGAGATGGAGGCCTTCGCAGTGCCTGCCATTTCGCTATGGGGGAAGATGCGCGGATCTGCGGAAATGAGGTGCACAAGCCCTCTTTGCTTGGCACTTTGTGGCCGCGGTCAAGCATGATGACGGAGATTTCCCGGGGGATCTAGATGGCGGCCCTCTTTGCTGGTCATTGTGGTTCACTGGAGTGTGGGAATTGTGGGGCGGTGGCCTTCTTTGCTTTCCGCTTCACTGTCTTGGTGGATGTACTGGACGCGGATATGGGGTGCTAGCTTTCTTCGCTGTCACTTTGTGGATGTGGTCTAGTTGAGTTCGGTAACCGACGTCTTTCGGCGTCGTTGTCTCTCTTGAGGTCGGCGAGCTCTCTCTTGTAGACTTGCTCGTCTACTTGGTGCATATTTATTGGAATTTGTTTCGCATTTGTACAGTGGCTGATGAGTCGTCCTTGATGGACGAGTTGATCGTGTGATTGCCCCTTGAGGGCCTTTGAGGACATGCCCCTTCGTGGGGCCTTTTCGGTGTCTGCCGCGGAAGCTGCTTACACAACAAAACCTTTGACGAGTTTTATTTACCCGGTTGTGGTGGCATGGACCTGGGGTGGCGGCTGGCTCGCCAGCATTTTTGATGTGGGATACATGGACTTTGCCGGGTCAGGCAAGCCCTAAGCTTTAACATAAACCATTGAAGGCCGCCCCTTGTAGGAGTGTTACGTTGGCGAAAGATTCTGTTTGGCTGCCTCTGTTCGGCTCCTACAGGTGTTGTCCATTTCACGGGTGGAGTTTGTGGCCTCGCTGGCACGATCATCCTCGGCCCCCGGAGGGGACGCTTCGAGAACCCGGAGGAGTTCGAGTACCACAATGTTCCACTGAGACCTGCCGGCACTTCTTACCCACAGACACAGAAATGATGATGTTGTGTTGTATGTTGTACGAGGTGACAAAAGAAAGAACAACTAAGGGTCGTGCTCGGAACCTTCGCGCTTTGGTTCGGCTGGTATGGCTTCAACCCAGGCTCCACCCTCTCAATGCACGATAAGGAGATGGGTGCCCTTGCAGCGCAGGTTGCCATGAACACGACTCTTTCCGCCGCCACCTGTGGCATCACCGTCTTCTTGCTGAAGTTCGTGCTCGTGCGCAAGTACGATGTCGGGGCTCTGTGTAACGGCATTCTTTCGGGCTTGGTTTCCATCACTGCGGGGTGCGGAAACATGGAGTGCGGCAGCGCAGTTCTCACCGGCTTCATTGGTGCTTTCTTCTACCAGGCGGCATCCAGTCTCCTTGTGAGACTGAAGATTGACGACCCCGTGGATGCCAGTGCAGTTCACGGAGCCTGCGGCATTTGGGGACTTCTCGCCGCTGGTCTCTTTGATTGGGGGAAGGGCTTCGACCACTATCACGGCTGGAGCGGTTTCGGCTGCATGACCGGCGACGATGGTGCGTGCCGCCATGGTCTGGGAGGTGCAGCCGTTGGAGCCCAGATTGTGATGATTCTGGCCATCATCGCGTGGGCAGGGACGCTGTCCACTTTGTCCTTCCTGGTCCTGAAGTTTTCGGGACTTCTTCGTATTGGCGAAAACATTGAGAAGGTCGGCTACGACATGCACTCGCACTCTCCGCCGAAGGCCTACGCATTCAATGGCCATGACCCAAAATCATCATCCAGCGAGGAATCGGGCTCAGAGGGGTGCTTGTGAGTGGGAACGGGAAGCAGTGCAGCTCATCGGAATCAATCCCGGCGGTCTCGTTTGGAGCCCATGGGCGTGATTTTGAGACACTTGCCGCAGGTCAGACTGTGTACAGGCTCCTGGTGGCTTTTAACCATTGGTCGATGAGTAAGTGACGTGCGGTCCATCATGCGGTCACTATGCTCAGGTGCACATAAGTGGCATCATTTCCAGACCAGATCTGTCTATAGCAGCCCTGGATCGAGCTGTAAAGGCTTTTTTCTGCCGTAGACTGTTGGATGATCGGCTGCCTCACCTGTAATGTTAGCCTTGGTTTGCTCAAGGTTTTGTCGTTTCTGCGTGGTTCGTGGTGGACAGTTGCATGCTGAAAGGTTTCGCAGCCGGAGCAGCAGCCAACTCCTGGAACCTGGCGCGAAAGGTTTGGATTGCGGCAGAGGTGCCCAAGCAGGCAGTCTGGCTGCCTTACATAATTCGATTTTAAGCGTGACCCGTTACTTTGCCTCCTTTGGTCGAAGCCACGTAGCCACAGTCCACACTCTTGCACTGCATTCGTTTGCCATGCTTATCCGGCTCATCCAATGTGAGAGCAGGTTCGCGGGCGTATCACCGGAACGTTGACTGGCATGAGCCGATGGGCTGGGCTTCTTGGTGCGTGCCTTGCAGTGCATCAGGGCAAGTACTTTTAGTGCAGCGCACCAGCCTGAACTCATCCAGGACCGTTCTCCCACTGCTGTTTAACTGTCGTGCTACAGACTTAGTCGTCTTTTATATGCTAAGTTTTTTCGCGCCACGGGTTGATCCGTTGAGCCCTGAAATTTCCCCACTCCACCCGAAGACCTCATAAGCCTTCGGCCCGACCTAGCAGGACCAATCGTACTCGGACTGTTTTGAACGCAGCGGCCCTCGCATCCCCTACTTTTGCCTTTGCAGCAGTCGGATCTGCGTTTTAGACTCTTTTAATTCGTGGGTGCCTTGGCTCGAGGATCGGCCCACAATGTTTGAAGCAGCTTCTTTTATCCCATTCCAGGTCACCAGTTGGCCCTCGACCCCAAGATGCTTGTAGAAGAAATGGTAGGGAGCCGAAACCGCCAAGCCGGCAAGCTATAGTCAGGCTGTTGGGAGGCGTCGTTGCGGAGATCAACACTCGAGACATTTTTCTCGTGCAAGCGGCCTTCTCCTCCTCTGCGCTCGCGGCTGCTCGGGATCAAGTCCTAGTTCTGTAAAATCCTTCACCAGTGTTTCTTTGCTCTTTGCAAGGTTCTCCTCGCGTACCAGCAATGCGAAAAGCGGGAGCTTTCGGAAGACACTGGCCGAAAGTCTGCTCGTGAGAAGCTTGCTCAACAGGCTCCGCGAAGTCATCGTCTGATGCAGCGGAGTTTTTCTCATCTGCTGGGTAAACTCGTTTTCCAGTGATGCATATAAACTATATGCATCACTGGAGAATTCTTGATTAGGAAACCACAAATCAACCGTAAATGAGGGCCCACAAATCAACAGCAAATTGACGGCTTTTATATTGTGGATTCACCTCGTGAGTTACATCTTCAGTTCGTGGAAAGGTTTAAAGCCAAAGCGGGAGTCTACGGCATTGACTTTGAAAGTATTTCCTATGAGTCTGCTGACATGCTGGACGTGACTTTGTTCAAGGGCCCTAAATGGCGGGTGACTGGTCGCCTGGACCATTCGCTTTATGTGAAACCTTCGAGCCAATGGCGTCCACTTCTTTGTAGCTCATATCATGCTCCTGCAGTTCATTTGGCTTGGCCAGTTGGGATGGTCAAAAGATTTTCCAGGCGTTTCAGCAATCCGCATGAATCGCATGCCGCAGTATTGAAGTTTTGTTCGTCTTTGAGGGCGTCTTCTGGTATTGACTTGAGAAACCGATCCTCGAGGAACGTCGATGCAAACCCAGCTCCCCTTCTCCTGGGATTTTCTCTCTTCCGCGTTTGGTTCTCCCGTACAGACGAGAATGGATGTGGTCGAGAGTCCCGTATCATTTCAAACAAGTTGTGGCGAAATATGCCAGATGTCTTGGGCTTGAGTCCTTGATGCGAGTACCTCCCGTATCATGGGCTTTAGCCGGGCCTCACTTAGTAACTACACTGAGGAGGCATTTATATTTGGAGGCGTTGGGGTAGGTTGGTGGGTTTGTTGTTTTTGTTTCTTTCGGTATGCGAAATGAGCAGCTTTTGCATGAGTCAGAACTGATCTTATGCTATGCTGCAGAAATTTGGGCTGTAAACCGCTAAGCACGCCAGGGTAGAGACTGCATTGCCGACTTCTGTCGCAGCCCGCACAAATCGAGACGTGTGCCGTGTGTTCTGCTTTGATCATAGCCTGTGCCACTTTTCAGTTTTCACCAGTGTTTCTTTGCTCTTTGCAAGGTTCTCCTCGCGTACCAGCAATGCGAAAAGCGGGAGCTTTCGGAAGACACTGGCCGAAAGTCTGCTCGTGAGAAGCTTGCTCAACAGGCTCCGCGAAGTCATCGTCTGATGCAGCGGAGTTTTTCTCATCTGCTGGGTAAACTCGTTTTCCAGTGATGCATATAAACTATATGCATCACTGGAGAATTCTTGATTAGGAAACCACAAATCAACCGTAAATGAGGGCCCACAAATCAACAGCAAATTGACGGCTTTTATGTTGTGGATTCACCTCGTGAGTTACATCTTCAGTTCGTGGAAAGGTTTAAAGCCAAAGCGGGAGTCTACGGCATTGACTTTGAAAGTATTTCCTATGAGTCTGCTGACATGCTGGACGTGACTTTGTTCAAGGGCCCTAAATGGCGGGTGACTGGTCGCCTGGACCATTCGCTTTATGTGAAACCTTCGAGCCAATGGCGTCCACTTCTTTGTAGCTCATATCATGCTCCTGCAGTTCATTTGGCTTGGCCAGTTGGGATGGTCAAAAGATTTTCCAGGCGTTTCAGCAATCCGCATGAATCGCATGCCGCAGTATTGAAGTTTTGTTCGTCTTTGAGGGCGTCTTCTGGTATTGACTTGAAACCGATCCTCGAGGAACGTCGATGCAAACCCAGCTCCCCTTCTCCTGGGATTTTCTCTCTTCCGCGTTTGGTTCTCCCGTACAGACGAGAATGGATGTGGTCGAGAGTCCCGTATCATTTCAAACAAGTTGTGGCGAAATATGCCAGATGTCTTGGGCTTGAGTCCTTGATGCGAGTACCTCCCGTATCATGGGCTTTAGCCGGGCCTCACTTAGTAACTACACTGAGGAGGCATTTATATTTGGAGGCGTTGGGGTAGGTTGGTGGGTTTGTTGTTTTTGTTTCTTTCGGTATGCGAAATGAGCAGCTTTTGCATGAGTCAGAACTGATCTTATGCTATGCTGCAGAAATTTGGGCTGTAAACCGCTAAGCACGCGAGGGTAGAGACAGCATTGCCGACTTCTGTCGCAGCCCGCACAAATCGAGACGTGTGCCGTGTGTTCTGCTTTGATCATAGCCTGTGCCACTTTTCAGTTTTCACCAGTGTTTCTTTGCTCTTTGCAAGGTTCTCCTCGCGTACCAGCAATGCGAAAAGCGGGAGCTTTCGGAAGACACTGGCCGAAAGTCTGCTCGTGAGAAGCTTGCTCAACAGGCTCCGCGAAGTCATCGTTTGATGCAGCGGAGTTTTCTCATCTGCTGGGTAAATTCGTTTTCCAGTGATGCATATAAACTATATGCATCACTGGAGAATTCTTGATTAGGAAACCACAAATCAACCGTAAATGAGGGCCCACAAATCAACAGCAAATCCCGGGATTTGCTGTTGATTTGTTGCCCGGGAATGCGGCCTGATTTGGGCCGATTGCTCAACGGAAATCTGCTGTTGATTTGTCGTTTTCAAGCCCCACAGACCAACAGAAATCTGCTGTTGATTTGTCGTTTTCAAACCCCACAGACCAACAGAAATCTGCTGTTGATTTGTCGTTTTCAAGCCCCACAGACCAACAGAAATCTGCTGTTGATTTGTCGTTTTCAAGCCCACAAACCAACAGCGACTTTACTGTAGATTTGTCGTTTGCAAGCCCACAAACCCGACGACTTCACTGTTGATTTGTCGTTTTCAAGCCCACAAACCAACAGCGACTTTACTGTTGATTTGTTTGTCTGAACTGGTTGTCTGTATGCGCGAGGTGACATAAAGAGTTGCTGTTAGAGGAAACACCGAAAGGGCAGGAAGGTCACAGTTGACAGAGGTCCTGTTCTAGGTGAAAAGATGTTGATAGAAGGACCTTTGCCCCCCCATGCTGGTCCAGAGGCGCCGACGCATTCCATCGCGGAAGTTCTTCACGCATCCTTTTATGGGCTTTGGACTGCAGGTCCCTTGCTATGCAGGTTGGGAACTGATTTGTCGCAAACCTAGACCCAGACTGAGCCAGACTATCAGACGGGACTCCGACACTGCTGCACATCGAGGCACCTATGCGCTGATGCTGAACGGCTGTCGGCAGACTTGGCTCATTCTGCTCCCCATGCAGGGGCGTGAGGCTGGTCTAAGCAAAGCAACCATTGGTGGCCTCGTGGCGGCTGGCAAGTTTGTAGATGGACTCGTGGGCATGACAATCAGCGGAAACTCGGTCGTCAATTTTATCGAAGTATGTACTTTTCGGGCATGCAAACATCCCAACCTTTCGACAAGCTACCGGCAAAGCGGAAGGATGCTCTAGAAAGAGACGTTGCTGAACCCGATAAGGGGAGCTCATGGACCGCTGGGGACGGCGCAGCGTGGGCGCCCCAGCGATGATCATCATCTCCCTGGCGTACTGGCTCTCGGCCACGGCTTCGGGATGACAGGGCCTCGGTGGGAGCTGTTTCCGGTGATTCTTCACTGCTCCTTGCAATCATTGTTGGCACGAGCAGCAGAAGCGGAAGTAGGAGATCAAGAGAAGTTGTAGTACTGCGGTAATTGCAGCAGCAGCAGCAGGTTTGTCAAAAACGGCGGCGGTAGCAGGCAGAGTAGTAGCAACGGCGACAGCGGCTGCATCGGGTACGTCCCTGCTAGTATCATGTACATAATATTTTGATTGTGAAGAGGAACCCTCAGGAGTGTTTTTGTTCGCTGTGAAGCTCGTGAGGAAATCAATCAACAAGAACATCAGAGCCCCGGACAAGCACAAGTTAAGCAAATAGGGTCCGAAGGTCAGAGGGCACTCATTTTCTTAGTTAGAAGGGGCAGTGAAAATGCATATATCTGGAAAATCCAGAGCACTGGTTTTCTTAGCCAATGTTTTCTTAAACAGAGCCGGCACTGTAACTGTACGATTGCAGGCATCGGCATCTTCGGTGCCTCGCTACTCTTCGGTTTGGGCAACGGCCTGCAGCTGGGCTTGAAGCGAGACGAGCTTGTTTGTTTCTGGCTGAAGTTGTTTGGCCAGGTTACCTTGAGGATTCGGTTTTTGAATCTCTAGTGACTCTAGTGAGTTGCAAAGCCGCTTTGCCGACTATTTGTGATTTGTCGCAGGAGGGGCTCATTGAGGGGAGTGCAGCAGATAGTGCTGGGGGTGTGCACAGTGGTACTTTTCGTCTGACAAGATGGCCGGTCATGGTTGCTAGCCAGGACCGGTGGGATTGCCAGCACACTCTCGGCGGATTTGGCACCCACCTGGGCACGGGCACAGCCTCCGCCTCAAGCTTCAGGTCGCAGCTACCCATTCCCCATAATGGGATAATATACCGTATAGCATGTATAGCCATCCCTGATCGAGGTTTATGGGCCTCTGGAAAATGGTAACGTCCAATGGAAGCGTCGAGGTTGCTTTCAGCCTTGCGCAAGGATGCAACTCTCCGAGGTGGCTTTTGGCGCTTGTGCATCCGAGGCCTCCTTTTCCCAATGCTCTTCGGGCTTCTAGCGAGTCAGCTTCAATCCTTGGATAAGGCTACGTACCTACTCCAGCTGCCACTCGCCTACAGGATTTCGAAATCCCAGTTTCCTGCAGGGGCGGACCCTTGATAAAAGCAGGCTTGCAAGTTCGTTCAGGGTTGCGCGGAAAGACCGCCGGTCCTGGCTTCCGAATTCCTCGGAAGCTGCTATTACGTAACCTGCACGTGCGCTGGACGAATCGGGATTTCAGTCTGCGCGTACATATATAGCGACAATCCCAGTTGAGGAGGATAAAGGCTGCAATTAGGATTTCAGAAAAGAAGATGGGGGACGGCCTTGCAAGATTGAGGCGTGGCTGCCACCTGATGTAACAAGGAGATGCTGCGCTTGTCAACCAGCCGAACTTGCAGCAATGACAGGGGTGTGACTCGCAACAACAAGCCAGCACCGTTGCACCGATTATCGAGTCAATAGTCCTGCTGGCTGATGTGCCATCGTTGACCATAACGTATGATTTGGCATCAGTAGTTCAGGTAAACGTACCCCTTGAAGCGGATGACGACTTCTTCGAACTTTGCGCATTTGCGGCATCTTGTACCATGCCAGTCTGTAAGTCGCCTGCCCTTCTAGAGGTTGGGTGTTGCCGCTGCCTTGTGGCTGTGGTTTCTGGTGCCGGAGACCTGCAGAGACCTTGGAGATGGCGGAGCCGGAGGAGCTGCTGTCCAGAAAGACGGCAAGGACGGACGAGTCAAAAGGTTGTGTCAAGATGGTATTTCCATGGGGTCCAACCTGTCACTTGTGAGATCTGAGACAGATAGCAGACAGGAGAGCCTCCTGAACGAGCTGGACAGGCAAAAGATCGATCTGAATGCTCGTGCAGATCTTGGGACTACTGATGTTGAGCCTCTTTCGCCTGTCTCACCAACGGCTGGCGAAGCCGTCTGCACCTGAGCTCGTTCACCAGCTGGCACCATTACGTGTACCGTCGGTAGCAGTCCGGTCCGTGCGACCGATGATCGTGACAGGAAAATATCTGCTTTGGCATGACTCGCTTGAGGATAAAATGGCAAGGTTGATGGGCTGCTGAATGTGTTACCTGGTAGGAAACTTGGTGAGCCAGGAGCTTTGTGAAATACAAGCAAGAGCTAGAGAAGATCTGCATAGCGCTGTGTCAAGCCACGGCCTGAGTAACACCTGCCGGAGCCGCCAGACTGGCCAGTGTTACCTGGCGAAGATCTAATAGCTCGCTGTGGCAATTGCAATGATTGCAACCTAGGCAAAGACCCAGGGAAGCTACAGACGGCTCTGGAGGCAGCTCAAGGCGTGCTGCTGGATGTGGAGGCTGGAGCAGCTGCAGAGGAAGCCGTTGACCATTCTCGAAATGGTGAATAGGTGCAGTGGGGCCAATGCGAGCTCACCAAAATAGCGGCTTGGCTAGCAACCAAGGTCTTTGTATCCTTTTTGTGAAAAATAAATGAATGACGCTTGAATGCACATCGGCTGCAGGATCCAGCAGCTGGAACCACGCACGTGCTGCTGGGCTTGCACTCTTCAACATCATGATTGGTTCCATCAAAGAAAAGGGCAAAGAGACGCATTTTGCAGCAGGTCAATCGGTCATAACCGTCGGTAGCGATCGGCTATTTATCTCAGCCTCCCTGTGGATAGAAGGTTTTACAACGCAGCAGTACGGCGTTCATGTCCGAGTTGTTGTTGAAGCCCCTCGCTCACTGTGCCCAGGAAGCCGAACAAAGAGACCAGGTTTGTGGATGTGTCAGACGCCACAGCGGCCCATCCTTTGAGTGTTCCAGGACGCAGCGGCTAGGGGCGATGATGCATTTGCTTTTCGACGATTTGAGACACATTAGAAAATTCCGGCTGCAAGACACACACACACACACGCACACACCAGCCCTGCGTGCAGGCAAAAGAGACTGGGACGATGAAGACACGGAGGTGTTCCTGGTCGTGCCAATCTGTCCGTGGTTGGGGGCAGCTTCGTTTTCTGGATGTCAGCATAGGAAATAGGAAAAAGTGACCGAGGCTGCAAGATGTAGTGCCAGCGGTTCGCACGGTGCCGCCGAGCAAGACGGGAATCAACGGCTGGGTCAGCGAAGGGGAAGGCGCAGTACCCGAAGGTTATACAGAACCAGTCCGGAAGACCCTTCTTCAGCACCTCGCCTGCCACCACAAGGATAGCACCAGGCTCCCATAGTCGGAACACACGGCCGACATGTGTATAAGGCGTGCTGCAAGCTTTTTCAATTGCTTCTCGAACGAAGATGACGAGGCTTCCACATTCGTCATGCCTCAGACATGGCATCCACGAGACGCGGCCCCTATTGTGAATCCCACGCAGGACAAACGCAGGAAGATGAGGAGGGGCACGCTGTACCACGCGCAGGTAGAAGAGCAGGACTGCAGAACATGCACTGGACCTGTGTGTTTGGCTGGTCCGGGGTTTCGACAAACAGCCCGGATTGCAGGAAGTAAAGCTGGACGAAGAGGTGGGCATGAGTATGACCATTCATGCCACGTCAACATCCTCCATTTCGCCACAATCGTAAAGGCCAACATTCTAGCAGCGTGGATTTATGGCACTCTGGACCTGAATCCGAAGTCCGGAACCTGAGCCAAGAAAACCCTGAAGCCTGAGCATAATGCTCCCTCGCTGGCACCTCCCCTCGCCCGCTTGCAAGGAGGATGAATAGTGCATGTCATGTTACATGCTGTTAAATATCTATATACACTTTGGCTCCTATTCTCGAGTATCGAATCTCACCAGGCATTAAGGCAAAACCAGATGCTGCATTGCTGGCGACAGACTATCCCCAAAGAAGGAGTTCATTTTCATGCGTCGCAAACCCTCTAATCAGGGTCCCACAACAAGATGCGTTTGACGTACGCAGGTGTACGATGTGGCCAACTTCTACAAGAAGACCGGTGTGTGGCAAGCAATGGCCCGCAATGACAAATTCGAGCGCTTGACGCTCATGGTGATTTGTGTTCTGGCTTGGCTCAGTCTTGTCAAATCCACGAATGTCACGAACATGATGGGGGAGGTTCTTGCTTGTCCTGCACGCCCACTTAGGTATCAACGCCATTTACATTGGAGTGGATGCGGACAACAACAAGGCTTCAACGACCATAAGCGCAGAATGGCCGTACCAGGTGTGCGACCATGCCTTCTGCTTGTTCTTCACGCACCGTGGTTGCCGTGGAAATTCTTTCGGTGCAAAACTAATCTTGGGTGTTCGGAGACTGAGCTGTCAGCAGAAAGTCGCATGAAAAAGCACAGCTGCAGTTCATTGCGAAAGACGTCGTTGAGCAAATCTGAGGTTCGAACTGGCTGTCCGCTTTGCTGCCTTCGAACGAAAGCGCAACTGCGTGCGCGACTTGTGGTTCATCTTCGATAGCGCCCTCGCGACTCGAACGGATTCGACAGGAAAGTGTCAAGCAGTAGTGTGCAATAGCCGGCAGGCAAGAAACTTACTTCCGAAGTAGCAGCGCAGGAGCAGCAGGGCGCTCGAACTGCTAGAGCGAGAAATTCAGTCAGCCAGGCTCTTGGAAAGAGGCTGCCTCAAGTGACCCTGAAATCCATGAGGACATCAGAAAACAAACCGACACCGTGTCTTTTCAAGGATCGTTGCGTTCAAAAATTGTTGAGTGTTTGTGGATGTACTTAGCGTCACCAGATTCAGATTTACTGTTACCGACTGGGTAGATGGCATGCAGCAAATTGCATTCAGCATCGTCAGAGCTCAGATCGTAGATCGGTGCTGACTGAACCAACCTGTTGCCTGTTGCCCGACGTCAAGTAGCCTGACTTGGCTGTGAGCCGTGATAATGTTTCGAGGTGATCCTCATGGTCTTTGAAACTTGGATTCTCAGCATCGTGCTATTGATAGCCGCTTGTCAGATTCAAGCCACGCGTCGCTTGCTCGGGCGCGGGGTGGTTGGTGGTTCTTGTTGCCCTTTAGAATTGCAGCGTGTCCTCCGGGCATGGGGCCCGCACCGTTTCATGGGGAGATGTGCCGGCCCTTCGGGGTATCTGCCAACTTGAGGTCCAGTCTGCTGACGGGGGTGGTGTTGCAACGGGGCCACTCCGCCTCCTGCGGCTTCTGAGGCAAAGGATGGTTTTTGTTCTGAGACTCGGCGAGAGCATGTCACCACGTTCATGCGCGCGAGGCTTTCGCGTTTGGTGCGCCTTCTTCGTTCCCTACCGGAGACCGGTTTCGTTTGAGCTAAACAACAAGAACCAGAAGTTTTCTGGAAGTTGATCAGTTGATCGTTTGGCTCGCAATTCTTCTTGGGTTTCGAGCTGGTCCCTGCCATGTGCTGAAGCTGATAGGTGTGCCACGTAGAAGGCAAGAGGCCTGTTCTGGGATATTTGCTGATTTTAACCAACGGGCTGGCAAGTCTTCCACGCACGGTTGCGGAAGTCAGGTCCAGAGGTAGACGATGCTTTTGAAGCCGCATGGTATAGTTAGCCAGGCCCAGAAACACGTTCACCTTCACAACTGCCCGTGCAGCAAGTACTTCGTCCAGTCATCTCGCAGCATGCCACGTGTGCACGTCGCGACTCATGAGTAATCATTATAGCAACACAAAATTCCTCAATTGAGAGCACCTAGGTTAGTCTCTGGCATCTCAGACTTAGATTTGCATCCGGAGAGCCGTTACGTTTCCAAGCAACCCTGCTGGTTGTGTAGTGGTGCGGTGTTTTGCAACGGCAGCTGTCTTCGTCAAGTTCTGGTTGCGTGCCGTTTGAGTGGGTGTGCTTCTGAGCCTGGGTTGCTGCTTGGTGCATCTGGGCACACCACTATGTGAATGGCAGTAGGGTGGTGAAGGGCGCCGTGCACAAGCGTGGCAGGAGTTGCTGACACTGGTAAATGGGATGCGTGCTGCTGCAAGGGCTGTCATCTCGGCACTCATGCTTTCTTGGCTGCAAGACTCTACAAATCGCCAGTTGTTGCCTCAATGGTAGAGAATGCAGAGCGCCACTCTTGTGACCAGGCTCATCATTGGTCTGAACTACGTCTTCGCGATTATCATCAACATGTTTCTGAGAGATATCCACTACCCGACACTTGTCTGACAGGCAGCGGACGCAAAGCTCAGAAGCCCTGGCGTTCTAGTGGGGGCATTGTGCAGTAGATGAACAACATCAGTCTAAAGACATACCTGCACCGCAGCCATGCTACAGTCCTGGTCGGCCATAGAAAGGAATGCGGATGCAGTAGTTTAATAGTCACGGTCAGTCGGCATGTAAAGCACAGAACATTTGCAACCCTTCCTGAATTCGGGCACGCCACGAAGACGAACTTAATGCGTCACGTCATCATTTCATGCACCCCTGCATTCCTGGGATGCCCAGCCAAGGACGTGCGGCAGTGGAAATGTATCTTCGGGATCGTGTTCCGAAGAAGGGAATATGATGGAGCGCAAGTTCAACACACTTGGCGTGAGCATGTGGAGTTTGGCGCTCCATGGCACCTTTATGGATGCCATCTCCGACCTTCTCGAGGACATGCGTGACTTGGAGAACTTGGAAACAGGCGCACTTTCACCAAAATCGACGAAAATTATTATTTGATTCAATCGTCCAGCCGTTTCCTTGCCCGCAGGTGGCGGTTGGGTGCTGGCCTGGTCTATGATCTTCGTTTTCTTCCTGTACGTCCTCCTCACAAACATTACCGTTATGAACATGCTCATTGGGATCGTGTGCGAAGTCGTTTCAGAAGTAAAGCTGAGCGATGAGAAGAACACGGCCGTGGTTTATTTGAAGAGGAATCTCAGGAACTTGTTGATTGAGTTGGATGAAGACAACAACAATCAGCATCTCGGCACGACAATCATTCTCGACAGTTTCGATGGCAGTTCTGTGAGACTCGCGGCTGGCCGTCCTACACCTGCGCTGACTCTATCTCTGTTTTGTGGGCTGCAGGATATCAAAGAGAGAACTACATGCAGTGCCTTCGATGCACGAATGTACACATAAGGAACCAGCCCGTGTAAGCACAGGACCAAAAGGCCATTGAAGGTCATGGTGTGCATTCGAGGTATTCAGTTCCATAAGCGTGTGTTCAGATGATAGGGAAACTGTAGATTGTAAAGGGTGCAAGAGGCAACTCGGCTGGCATAGTTTGCTTATGCATGTCCGAAGCCCGTGCCGAGTATGTGGTCAGTCTGCCAGCGAGGGCATCGACTGCTCAGGCATCGCAGATCTTCAATCATGAGGAGTGCTAATAAAGGCGTAGCTCGAGTACTTATCTGCATAAATCAGCGTCAAACCAGTGCAAGCAGGTCGATATGGTTTCAGACCCTAGCAAACAATGCGTAGCAATTGCCACAGCAACATCGAGAGCAACTCCGTCACTGTCACGTGGCGCGCAGTCCCGCGCAAGCCGTCATAGTAAGAGTTCGAAACGCAGTCGCATCAGATTTGATTGCTCGGGCCGATTTTTGTTTCGGATGATGAGAGGCCTCGAAGCTGCCTCGGGCGCGGGAAGTCTTGAAAGAGCTGGACGTGCTTCTCACCTTCATAGTACAGGTAGTAGTAGTCATACGTACAAACACTTAATCAAATAGTACAAGTCTTAGTATTGGAGATAAGAAGCACTAGTATTGATAGCATAACCTTGGGCTTCATGTTTGTGAAGGGGTCTGAGTCTGAGGATGCTGAGTTGGGGCCTCAAATTGAGACAGTGCGGTGTGGTAGCGCATCCAGCAACGTCTTGATAGATCTGGTGAATAACATGTTTCTGTTGAGCGCGCAGTTTGTCCGAGTTTCCGAGGAACGTGGACAATCTCATTGTCTTGACCGAACCACTCTTTGAGCAAGATGCTGACGCCGGCCGGGAGCAGGAAGTCACGCGAGAAGAGCTCTTGATCCTCGGCCTGTACACCGTGCTGCTCTTGGGGTTTCGGGGTGCAGGATGTCTCGCAGCGCACGATTTTTGCAATTGGCATTGAAGCTGAGGAACGTAATTCTCGACATGCGTGGTGATCGCGATGTCCGGATGGAGGACATCGTCGAGCTTCGCTGTGATATCCGCCGCTTCGTCCACAGGCAAGGACCGGTAAGAAATAACCGGACCACCCTTTGAGTTCGAGCTGCTGTTGCTACTACTACTACTACTACTACTACTACTACTACTGCTACTGCTACTGCTACTGCAACCACTACCAGGCCCATTATCAGTAACACTACCACCACGACGACGACGACCACGGCCGAGAGCGAAGGATATAAAACCAATCAAAGCAGCTAGCACTCTCACGCTTCCATGCTCAGCAGGATGGCTTCTATGAATGTGTTCTACAGTTCTACAGCGTAAGTCGAATCTGCATTTTTTGACTGATAAAGCGCACAAATGTTTCGCAACCCACTTATTTTCAGTATTCCAAGCCTTTCGCCGATAGGGGCTCAAATGCTGATTTTTCAGTCCATGCATCTTGAAGTTACTACCAATCCCAAGCTCGGAGTCAGATCTGCCAGATCATAGGAACGCCAATCTCCAGGAGGGCTCGAGGCCCCTAGGCTGTCCAGGTAATCCGAGGGCTGATGCTGTTCTGGACGATGTGGACAGCATTCCGCAAGCTGCTGCGCGTAGATATCTATATATATATATATATATATATATATAGATATATATATATATATATTTATAGATATACATAGATGTGTATACATATATATATATATATATGCATATTAAATACATACATACATACATACATACATAAACACACAGGTAGCAGCATCTGTTGGATTCGATTCGGTTGAAGCAGTCGCCGTTCCAGTTAAGCATGTGGGCGCTCGATTCTATGCCGAGCGCCTTTGTTCTAGCTACTTTAACAACATCCCGGCCTTCGTGCCGTGCTGCTTTGCTCTGCAGCCTCCAGCGTCGGCCACAGGCAAACCAACGAGCTTGTCAAGAAGACGGATGAGATTGCGGGGCACATCGAATCCATTGAGAGGCTCGCGCTTCGAAGGGCGTGGAAGCCAGCCTACAATCGGCTTGAGCGGTGCACCCCGGCCCTTGCTCCTGTTGCCAGGAAACTTGCGGTTATCAGTGAGCGCATCAAGTAGACGAGTCAAGAGGCTCTGACTGAGTGTCAAGCCTCGCTTTCACTGCACCCCCAGCCGGCGAGCTTTCCACCGGATTTGGCAGTTCGCAGCTTGAATGTGCAGTTACATGGCAAAATAATGCCTTGTCGCCGAATCAATCTACGATGACTCTCACGGCGGTTCTCCAGAAGGAGAACCGGAGAGGCCGGATGGAGCAAGCAAACTTACGACTGGTCAATTTGGTCAGCTGCCGTGTTTGATGTCAGCTCTTGTTTCGCAGCACTTCCGTCCGGTACGCGCCAGTTCAGTGAAAGTCACACTGCTGGGGCTTTAAGGAATCACAGGCAGAGCTCGCAATTTTTTTGCCGAGAGAAGTTAGATCTCTCGGTAGGTGAGGTCTGCCCGGAAGTGGCACATTGCTTGCAAATGCTCCCTTTGGCTGGCTATCCGATGCCGCTGACAGCCCGGAGATCTGTAAATGCTGTTGGTCATGATGCAAGAGACTTCTCCCAGTAATCTGGCTTCTTTGTGTTCGTTTCGTGGTGCTTCTCGCAACAGCTGGGCTTGAAAGGAAGCTTTTATCAGACTTTGTCAACTGTGAGCTCATCACGGAGTGAGAGTCTCGTCCTCGCACTGCTTTAGGTTTATTTGCGTGAGACAGAAAAAGCAAGCATCTGCAGGGCGACTTTAGGGCCACGGCGTCCACGTGCGTTACAGTCACCACCTCGACGTATACCAATGACCAACGCACGCCATCCAATTCTCGTTCCTGCAACCGCTATCAAGTTACGATTCATTCATAGCAGGTTAACAGGCGGAGGATTGCCTGGATGCATGGTGACTGCGGCTTCCCGCGCTCAAGCTTTTTCCACGACCTTTCTCGGAGCGTGTCCTCCCGGCATGTGAAGCAGTGGAACCCCAATCCCCAGGGTGCAAATATGTCCAAATCCCCAGGGACCTTGTCCGAATGAAGCACAACGTAGAGACGCGCGAGTTCTGTCACAGGCACAGTTTCACAGTTCTTCCCAAAGCGAGGTCGGTGGGCGAGGTCTGCAGTATACGGTCTGTGGGTCTAAGTGCACGTGTTTTCACATAGCGCCATCAGTTTTTATTGTTTATGCGCTTCTTGCAACATCTGAATTTGCACGAGCTCATCACAGAGTGCGAGACTCGTCCTCGCACGGCTCTAGGAATGTTTGGGTGAGACAATGAGACAATGAACGCCTGTTAAGACCTGTTAAGAGATATGCTCTCGAAACCTCTATGTATACATAGATACATAGGTACTAATATGCTTTCAGTATCTATGCCCATAACTGGCCGAGTAGTACCCTCCACCTGCATGTGCCGGTCTCGGTAACACTGGACAGGTTCGGACCGCGGAGGCATATCCGACAGACGCGTGCAGGATTTGTGTAATCCTACCACTCAGAATGAAAGCACTTACTGAATAAGCCGAGAACCATCGAAACCACACAAACCTCACCCAAGTCCTTGAACCCGAGCCATGCAAATCCTTATCACGGGACTGCGGTATTCGACATCCAGTTGTGAACTTCGGCAATTGGCGAAGCACCCTGCAATTCTCAGCATCTGCCTGCGCGCACGATGATCCAAATCCCAATCCGCTGTGTCTAAGTTTCTACGGGCGCTTATCATCATCCCTGCTCCAAAACATGTCTTCCCACTAAAAGCCCATGGATTCCGCTTGGAGACAGCGAAGATGCTGTGCCCACGCCCTCATTCATGAATGTCTTCCAGGCGTGCAGCCTAACTTTGCGAATCTTGATTGCTGGTTGCTTGCGCCTATCCCATCATTCAATGCTTGCAGAGTTCATGCATAGTGTAGCCCGTGCCGCCCAAAAGTCCGCACAACGTTGCACATTTTAGTGCCAACTTGTCAGAGCCCCAGTTTGATTCCTTGCTATGGAGCTCTGACGAAACCGTTCCAGAGTTCTTCCCTGTGTGACTGGTTTTTAGGCCCTCGTGTAATAAGTTTTTGGAGTATATACTTGGGAAGTTGTATTCCTTACAGTCACTGCCCTCACAAAGACGCTGCCAGCTACATCTTGTGCAGACGCTCCATATCGGTTTTCACTAGGACCGTATAAATTCTGCATCTGCGTCGTTGCAGGCCTTTGGCTCAAGCTGCTGGTGATTATGTTTGCCAAGCAAAACTCGGCCACCACTGAGATTCTGCTAGAACGCGAGGGAAATCAGGAGTGGGTGATGACACTGTGACTTGGGGATGGGATGAAGGCCCAGTCATCTCCACATCAGATTGCCAGTCCCCGACATCAGAAACACAGACATGACCAGCTACCCGGCGGTTTCTGCTGAGACTGAGCTGGCTCAACTGAAGGACTGTTACTCAGTGCACCTAACTAACGTAAGGCCTCCATAACAACAGCATGAAAGGTGACCCGATCAGTTAAGAAGGGTCGGCAGTTGGCGGAGTCGTGCATTGCGACAAGTAGCATCCATGCTATTTACAGCTTCCAACTAGACTCAGTTCAAAATGCTGTTCGATTCTGTGCGGAGAGGAACTGCTGGCAAGACAAACATCAGCGAGAGAAGAATTGCATGTGGCTGTTTCAAGCCGGCGTCTCAGAAGTCACGACATGGGACGTGCTGCTTTCACAGTCTCACCCCGTGAACAGAAAAGGCAAAGATGCAGCGAGACTGCAGACGGCTCTGCAAGCAGCACAAGGCTTGTTGCTGGATTTGGAGGCCTGGGTGGTGCAGTGCAAGAGGCCGCGCATGCCTGCCGTGAGCACCAGGTGCAGTGGGGACAGCGTGAGCTGACCAAGGTCTCGTCCAAAGCAGAATCTTGGCAGGCAGGTCGTGATGCTTGAAATCTGCTGGGTGGCTGAGTCACGGAAGGGCTCCGTTTGGTCCCATTTGGCGAGGTTCACTCGCCCGAATCGAAAGATTCATGAGCCATGAGCTTCTGCGACGGATTTCAAAATGCTTTGGCTTGGCCAGGATGGGGAGGAGGCCATGGTGATCCCGTCCGCCGAGCAGCTTGAGCAGCTTTTAGCCGAGGCACGCGCGCTTCGAGCTAGGACGTAGGACGTGTAGTAGACCTCCCTGCGCACGAGTGGCATGTGGTTTCGACGCGGCTTGGCCCCTACTCGCGGCCCGACTCAGGAACAGACGAGAATAGTCCCAACACACTATTCACTATTCTGGAGCTCGAAGGCTCCAACCTTCAGTTTCGGTGTAGCTGTGACGGGACCTTCGCACCGCCTTCAGCAGCTACAGTAGAGTGAGGGGCTCTCCTATTCAACGATGCAAGGTCGGCAAGGTTCCATAGAGCATCTCGTCACTGCGTCAAGAGTGACAAACATGGACTTGCTGCTTCAAGGCTTCCGCATGGAGATCTCTTATTTCTACAGCCAAAAGCATTCAAAGAGCATGCAGGAACGGCCACACAAGAAGTAGCTGCTTAGCCCAATCGTGTAAATGCTGGCATCTAACACTGCAAGAACCTCGCGAGCGAGAGAACACTGCACGGGCTAGGGGGTTCCCGGGCTCCAAGCAAGCAAGCAAGAACAGTGCAAGCACCAATCGGTGCGCGCACTATGAAAGGATCCTGATGTCAACCGCACCGCGAGTTCGAACTCCGACTCCGACTTGCCCGACCGTTGCTTCAGAAATCTTTGACGGACCCCGCTGACCTGGCCTTCTACGAAGCATAGTCCCAGTCCCAGTCGAGACACTGAGCAGGACGAGGAGCGCCAGCGCCGGGAGGAAGCTGAGGCAGCCGCCGAGGAGCAACGGAAAGCTGCAGAAGCCGAAGTCGCTTGGAAGAAGGCGCCAAGCACGAATTAGCATGGCTTCACCTTTGACAAAGGGTCTATGCTCCTGGGTGTGCCTCAATATGAGCGGGGCCCGTTTCTTGAACAGAGTAGACTGTTCAATTGTCTGCTCCACCCAGCTCAAACTGAAGTAGGATGATCCTGGGATTTGTGTGTGTGTGGCATGAAGAATGAAGATAGACATCTGCACGTCAAACGGTCGGTTCGAGAACTGCGGTGGATGCAACTTGGTGTTGATGTCGAACACTTGCCGCTAGCTGCTGCTCAGCTTGGCATAGGACTCGTGCTAGCTCCATCTTCGTCCCCATTATGATTGATCTCTTGGGGTCCAAGCAAGACCAAGTGTTCACAAATCGCCCTGTCATTTCCTGTCCTATCTTTGGTTACGTTTCCCCACACTCGATCCCACATATGCAGAATTTGCCACCTCTCCAGTGAGACTGTGCGCTGAACATCGGTATGGCTTGGCCAGCTGCGCGGCATGGTCGACTGGAGCCCGTGTGAGAAACAGCAATAGACAGCTTGGGTAAGCTCGTGGGCCACAGAAGCCGGCAGCAACCTTGCTGTCACAACATGGTCGGGCACACAAAGGCAAGAAGGGCTGTTCCAGTACCACGGTGTGATTTCTGGCGAATCAGCGGGATAGGTTTCTTCCTCGGAGCTTTGAGGTGCAAGATGCGATCAACGCCGACGACGAGGGGGCATTGCTAAAAGCACTTGGCGACGTGGAAGGCCGCCTGGCTACAGCGGAGGGATGTGTGATGGCTAGAACGGCAAAGTCTGCACCCTATGAGGCAAGCTGCCACCGGACCGGGTTGCCGCAGCGAGGCGAAGGTGCGGCTCATGGTAGACCTCACCGCTGCTCTCTCAATGGACTCTGAACCAGTTGCGGAAACACGACACGCTCCCAGGATTCCCGCCATGCGAGCCCGTGCGGAGATGCGGAAGGAGCTGTCCGCCGCCATCCGGAAATCCGAGCCTTGGTTCGCAGGCTCGCGCGAGAGTCTTTCCTGTCTGTGCGGGCAGAGTGCGGAAATCGGAGCTTCCAGCATCTACAGCCTAGCCAAGAGCGGCAGAACGCGGTTTTTTTCAGTCTCCGAGGAGCTCGGGGAGGAGACCGTGACGCTGAAGCACGTCATTGCCACCGCCAAGCGCTCCTGCTTGCCGCAGGCATTCGCGAGACTTTGAGTCGAGGATCATAGGATCGGTTGTCTTGTGCCGATCGGGAGTGCGGAGGCGTTGTAGGCATCCGTCAATGTCGCGTAGTTCCTGTCATGGAATCACGGAATGTCACGGAATCTGTAACAATCGGTTCCGACCCATGCGCCAAAACCTCTCATCAGGCCGAAGTCCTGGAGGCGGAAGCCGTCCTCAAAAGGATGGAGGCCGAGCAAAGAAGGGCAAAGGCGGAGAAGGCAAGCGCTGAGCATTCTACGACTCCAAAGCTCGGGAATGCGTCTGGTTCATGTTTCAGTGCTGCACAGCTGCAACCATCATCCCATGCACTTTGTCTGGGATACAGCTGCAGCGCTTCTGCGAGTGGGTATTCGACCATGCGGAGCTTAGACTGCGCCTGCCTTGCGGCCGTTCGAGCATTGGGACAAGCCTTTTCGTAAACCACGGTGTTGGCATCATGCTAGTGATACGTAAGTCTTATAAGTATGAGCTAAAAGTTAAAACATTAAACCAGAACATGCACGTATTTCTCATGCTTGGGGGCTATGAGCATCGAAGCCCGAGTGCCCACACCCAAGAAAAGCCCCACAAAAAGCAGGGCCCGAGAAAGGATGCTTTGCCGCCTGGCCTTTGATTGCTTTCTGCCAAAGGCGGCTGCTGCCGCCGGACCGCAGAGCCGGGCTGCGACCTTAGAGGGGCCCAGCCTAGCAGAGTGCCGTAGTGCAGCGGAAGAGAAGGGGAACGGAAGACCGAAGAGAAGAAGAAGAGAAGTAGAGGCATGAACCGCTGCAGCTTGTCCTGTAGGGCCGATCGCTCTTGAGTGACGGCTGAGATGACATTGTCGAGCAGTGGTCCCCTTAGCGAACTGCGGAAAGAAATCCGTTCCACGTCGGATCACTGCAGGAGTCAAGGTTCGAACCGCCTTTCCGGGCAGAAAGTTTAAAAAGTGAATCGAGATGCAAGGGGGCACCACTGAACAGTAAACCGTAGTCGTCGCGACCTTGGACCTCAGTGTTCTTTGTGTTCGCTCGAAACAGTATGCACCCACACCTTTGCTCGTCGCCTTATCTCTCGAGATCGTTCTCGTCGTTTAGTACACACCCATCGAAGAGACACCCTCGAAGTCACAGCTGAGGAGCTGCCGCCAGCGGGCGCAGATCCGGCGAGAGAGGTCCAGGAAGCGATCTCAGTTGCATGCCGGATCTGTCGATGGCCTCGAAAGCCCTGAGCTGACGAGGCTCCGCCGTCGAGCAATGAGGTCAAGGCCTGCAAGTATTGTTTTTTGTCATATCGGAGGCATCAGCAGTTGGAACAAGAAATACCAGGCACCTGCGACCAAGTTGGAACTAGCCGTTCTCAGCAAGGCCGGCTGGAGTTTACCTTGCTGAGACTGTGCAAGGATTCTCCAACGTGTGCTATCGGCTGTTACCACAGAGAACATCTGAAACACGAAAATAGGATAGGCCCGACGATCATGCTCGCAAGTACGGATTGCTGTCAAGTGTGGTTATGCTCGGGGCAACGCGAAGCACCACGACAGCACTCCGCCTCTCGAAGACATCGTTCCGACCCTATTGCGAGCGAAGGGACTGTTGAAGGCGCACTTCACAAAGTCGAAGATCCTTCGTCTTCCCATTGAGTTTGTGATTGTGTGCGTGATGGGAGGACAAAGAGCAAATACAAGAAGCACTCGCAGAGCTTTCGGCCCAGTGTGTGTCAAGCTCTTCTGGGCACAGAGATGTCAACGTGTGCCAAGGTTGAAAGCCTCAGGAATGTCAAACCAAGAGCGGAACTATTTATACGCATGTGCACGTGCGAACTTCGGGGGGCGTTGAGTCCATGTGGCTCCACCTGCTATGAAGCTCAGTAGGCTGAAGCAATAGGTCAGTAGGACTAGGTCAGGACGGAAGTTGCCGGTGGTAAGTGCTGTGCAAAAGGAGAGTCAGCAGCACAGATGCCGCAGCAAGCCCGTTAGCAAGCAATTGCAGAGCGAGCAGAGCGACTCTGTGTGGTATTTGTTGCAGTTCAGCTCTTGAATATGCGAGCTTGCATGCTGCCAGTACGACCGGCTCAAACTCACCCGCTGCTTCCAAAAAGATCAGAAACCCGTTCAAGATGGCTGCCGAGGGTGAGACTGCAGGCATGGTTGACATGAAGGCCCAGGGAAGGGGCAAGTCTTTTGCTTTTTTGGGGGGCCGCGCGAAGTTCATGACGCAACAGGTGACTGCCAAGAAGAGCATCAACTTCTACATGAACTCAGCGAAAGCATTCTTCACGGGAGTTGTTGACACTGAGGGCAAAAAGCGCGAACCCGCCACTGCCTAAGAACGGCAAGGGCTCTCCCGGCAAACTTGCGACAAAGAATCCAGCCACCTGCTGCCGTCCTACGGAGGTCTGTGTTCTCAACATCTCGGGTTTGGGTGATGCCATTAATGTCGCCGCTACTTATCTGCATTTTTGCTTGTTTATGCTGCGCCGTGTGGGCTGCCATGAAGCCAGCCAGGCTCAGGCTGCTGGGGCCGTCGTCAAGGAGGGCCTCGCCGCGTGCTGAGGGTGTTTGGAACGTATTACCTACGCCTCCATGAGCAAGACCTCTCCCTGCAAAGCGAGGCCACCATCCAGAAGATCGAGACTTCCTACCCTGCTCCGTCCCCAGCGCATGCTGGCAAGAGGTTTCGACTCTTAAAGAAGTTCTTGGTGCAAGCTCGTACGTAATACTTTGCCTTCGATGCTATCGCATCACGACGTGTTGTGCTTTCCCTGTTGAGATGTTTGCTGCACTTTGTGGAGTTGTTCCCCAAGTTTCACAGCACAGCCAACCCTGAGTAAATGACCTGTGAAGTTGTTGAGCTGCTGGGTCTTCACTGGCTTCCTTGACACCGACACACACACACACACACACTTGATTTGACACTCGATTGAGCGAAGCCAAACATGGGATAGCACGCATTCCTACAATCGTGGCCTACCATGTGCTTTTCCAATCTGATCATGCTCACGCTTTCATCCTGTTGCATCTCTTCGCGTTTCTTCAATACCCTCGTTTGCTCGTGCAAGTACGTTTTCAGCTCTTGTCATTGGCCTCGTCGTTGGCCATCCACCAATGACAAGAGGGATGGCCCCTGCTTTTTACCGCAATTCCCCTCGTGACAGGGTTTTACACACACACACACACAGCTGCCCTTCGAAAAGGGTAGTAATGTGAAACACTCCAGCCAACATGCTACGCATTCCAACATTCATGAACATTCATGCTCATGCCGACATGCTACGCATTCCAGCATTCATGAAAACTCTCATGCCGACATGCTACGCATTCCAACATTCATGAAACTGTCGACATGCTACACATTCCAACATTCATGAAACACTGATGCCAACATGCTATGGTTTTCGTGGTGCATGCATGAGTCGAAAAGACTTGAAGGAGACAGGACGATGAAATGAAAGGGTGATGGGCACGCACGCACAGAGGACTCAACGAATGGAGAAGTGCGCTCCCTGTGTACATCATCGTCTCCACCCCTGTCATCTAGGGTGTATTTTTAGGGGAGGAGAAAGTTTTCCAGACACAATCAATGTGGGAGTTCGCAGGCAAAGCCGCAGCCCCCCCAACACTGTAGCATGGGAATGAATTCATGGCTGCACATCACCAGTTGTAGAGTAGGAGATGTCGCACTTAGGAGCACGAGTAGACACTATCCCGTCATCTTTCCACCATTCAGTCAAGGTGAACATGTAGTGGAAGTGTTGCGCTCATACGTCTGGCCACCGAGTCTTCTAAATAAAGCTGGAGCCTCACGATTGGCACGATGACAGATTTCCAGCCGAATCACACACCTGATTTGACCCTCGATTGAGTGAAGCCAAACATGGGATAGCACGTATTCCTAAAATCCTGGCCTACCATGTGCTTTTCCAATGTGTTCATGCTCACGCTTTCATCCTGTTGCATCTCTTCGCGTTTCTTCAATACCCTCGTTTGCTCGTGCAGGTACGTTTTCAGCTCTTGTCATTGTCCTCTTCGTTGGCTATCCACCAATGACAGGAGCAGATGGCCCCCTGCTTTTTGAAACATTGCGTTTCCCTTAGTGACACGGTTTTACACACACACACACATTTACAGGATCTTGCTCTTTGCTGACAGCGGACCAGCATGTATTGGATCTCTTCTGGAATGAGTTCCTTCAGTTTGTGCTTCCCGTCGGGACAGTGCTTCTTTGTCCAGACCATACTTGCTTGTGGTGAGAGATCGCTGGGCGAGGCTGCACGCACACATTGGGCGTTGTTGCCAACGTGTTTTTCGGCTGGGGGGCTTGCTGGAACTGCCAGGAAGTCTTCACACTCCAGATTGTGAACAATGACAGCTAGACTGAACGGCGCATGCAGTGAGTACAGACGAAGGAAGACCGTACCAACCGGACAACAAGCGGACCGAAAGCAAGCCAACACTGAGCAACCAGGAGAGCGTCAAGGCTTCACTCAGAAGACCCGCAACTACATGAAGAGCACTGGCCTGATCAAGAGAAGCCGTTTCCTTATGAAGCCGAGGAGATGAAGTTGACCAATGGCTCGGAGCGAGGCTGTGCAGAAGCCTCAGAAGCTACTGGTAGAAGATGACAGCTCAGGAGTCTAAATTTGCCTTCTCTGGGTGATGATGACATGTGATCCGTGTGAGGTTTACATCCAAAGCGGAAAAAGTCACAACAGTATTGCATCAGGAATGATCTTGTTGAGCATGGCCCGTCTTGTCAAGCCGTCTCCGCTCAGACTGGTGATTAGTTACAGTATTCATATCGTGGCTGGCTTGCTACTGTAGAGGCTGTAGGTGCAGTGATGGCATCAAATTTTGAAGGCGTCATGACTGGAGCCTCACGCTCCGTGTGTTTGGAATAATAGGGGTTTAGCAGCAGACTTCGCAGCTTTCGCAGACCGATGGCGAGGGTTTGAGAAATAGATGATGGCATGTACCGATGAGGAGCTCTAAATACGTGGTCAAGTTCCTTAGGCCTCCCCAGCACTTCTTCAGACACCCGGCGTTGGCAGAGAGGGGGCGAGCGGCCCTGAGACTTCAGGCGAGAATCATGATCACCTTGCACAAGAAGGTATGAACAGACTGGAATGCAGCTTGACATGCGGAAGTCAAGACCAGTGAGATCTTGGATTTGACATTGGAAGCAGAGATTGCACGGAAGTGGAGAAACTCTTTTGCCAGACGCATTGAGCTGCACTTGGTCTGCCGAGTTTAAACACAAGTTCCGCTGTGCTGGGGACGACAAAGGCAAAGTGTCAAGACTGCATCGTTGGTTCACATGCTAGGTGAGCCTCAGCACAATTGTCATAAGATCGCCCGTCTCGCTCCAGCATGGCATGTGTCGATCCGGAGTAGGATGTATCAATAGGCAATGTTTGTGGTCGGCGGCACACGGCAAGTGCCATGGGAGCCGCCTCCTGGCCGCTCACTGAAGCATGTCATCACACATATCTACATAAGTACGGAAGACACTGCAGTGTTGGAGGAGGGTGGAACCAGTTTTGCTACAGGTGTGCGGTTCAGGCATTCAGCGAGACAGTCGACAATTCGCTAGATGTGGACCCGCAAATTCAGAAAACAGTAGGAGCCCAGAGCAAAGCTTTGCAGGTCCTGTCAGCATTCCGGTGCCTGATCTGTGAAGTGCTGTCGCCTGTGAACACTGGGCTCAAGGCAGCATAAACCTGTCGACCCGAAGCGCATTCTCAAGTCATGATTATCCACGTCAAGCTGATTTATTAATGATCCCGTAAAGCGTTTGGGCCCGGGACTTCATGATGAGCGAGGTTTCTTTAGCCCGCGCCTGAGCTGCGTAATATCGTACTTTTCTCGCGGGATGGACTGTTCGGGCCCATACTGCCTCCACTTGCAGCAAAGACGGTGTTGACAGGATTGGCCTCTGAGCAAGGAGGAGCAAAAAAAGCGGATCATGCGACTGTACGACAAGGCATGTGGGGGCTTAGGCTCAGAGCAACGTCTCGAGTACGTTGCTTGGAAATCGCCGGTTGTCGAAAGTGTCGACAGCTCCTACCAGGATGTCCAAGCTGCCAATGAGCTACTCCATTCTGGGGAGGCGGCCTTGAAGGTGGCCTTGAAGGCACCATGATGCACTGCGAGATGCTCGAGAAATTCAGGATAGGTTGAAGTGGGATGTTGCTTGTGCCATACTCTGCCGAGTCTTAGCACGTGGGAGGCCTTACACCAGAGGCTGAAGGATAGCCAAGGGGAGGGCAGCACGGCTTCTCAGGCGCATCTGAGACAACTCATTGAATTGAGCGAAGACAGCATTGAGCCAGGACATGCCTTGTCCAGAGCAGAGAGACCTTGGAGTCGGAGGTGATGCATCCTGCAGTGTGCTGTCCTGCAGTATACTGCTTCTCAGAGCCTGGGATAGGTCGGATGGCCGCAGGCCGCGAGGCTGTGACGTCGATCCAGTCTGAACCGGAAGAACCGCGGACGCCCCGCGCCCAGACAGCTTAAATTGATGCAAGGAAGAAACCTGTGTATCCGAGGCCGACCTCCCCTACCTGCACCGAGCAGACCGAGCCAGAGGCAGCCTACTTCGTCCGCAGAGCACCTGAGTACTGACGACCCTTCGGCAGGCGGCGGAGGAAACCCAGGAGGACGGCGAAAATGCCGCGGAAGCCGCGGCGTGCTGCCGGCCTTCTTTTGCACCTGGAAATTCTGCCATGCCTAAAGCTCGAACAGTATTTCCAGCTCGCTGCGTTTGAAGCTTGGGTCCCCTCGGAGTCTTTGAGCCAAAGGCGTTTGCAGCACGCCATCGTGGACGCCGCTGCTGCGCCCCAGACTTGGATTTTGTGCTGCGCTGTTGTGCTGTGTCTTGACCTTAGAAAATTGTGATTTGCAAGGCTGGCTTCCCTGCCGGGGCCTGATGTGATGTCAGCTATCACAGCAACGAAGACAGTGGCACCATGAAGACAATGCAGGTTTGGAACTTCATCCTTGTCTTCCGTGTTGGCGGAGGGCTCAAGCCACGGCGACGGCTCTATCTGTGGTGTAGTGCGCATGCGGCGGCTCCAGGTGGGCATTGCTGCCGACGCAGACAAGGATCGGCATGTCGTAAACCGATGTACAAACCAGGCATCGGCACAGATTGGGACCCTGGGATGCAATCGACACCTCTGCGAGGACAGCCCAGAGGAGTGCATTGAGGCGAGGGAGCTCGGTCTGCTCTCAGCTTGGACGTGTGCAACGCTCTGCCAGGTCAGGCAACGCGCAAAGTCCGAAGGCACCTTTCACGCGAAGCACTTGCGTAAGTGCTTGTTATGGTATGTTGACTTCCTGGCTTCTCCGTAGCATCCCTTGAACCCTTCGGCACGGTAACTTTGGGCAATGTTGCTGCCGGAACTTGCGCCAAGCCAGGTGCCCGAGTCATTGCCCCGGCCATCCAGAAGCCCGAGGACTGCGTGCAGTGCATCAGTTGCAGCAGCGGAGAATGGCGAAGGGATGGCCTGGATGCCAGGATCGCCGTCGCAGAAAGTCGCGAGGGGGAGAACCGTTGAAAGTGTGACTGCCCCGGTTTCAGCAAGTTCAATCCGGCACGCCGGTTTGGACCTGACATGAAGTAGGGCGCGTTTTTCTCGGTATATGTATATAGGGCTCGTTTGGAATATTGGTGAATTGTGACTGTGTATCTGGGGCATTACGACAAATACATCACATGGCATGGCAGAATTACGAAGTAAGCTTCTGTTGCTGACCAGGTCATTCGCAGATGACGAGGACTTCATCTTTGTCTTGATCACCCTTTGGCTTAGCCACATCGCCAAGCAATTGCTTTTAGCAACACTGCTTGCCACACCCTGCGTGGATGCTGTCCGAAGAGTGTTCAGAAATCGCTTACACCTCGCAACTGACTGATTGCACTAGCACGACATGCCGCTTAGTTGGACCATTCGTCGTAAGTGCCACCGAGCGCATAAGTGGAAAGCCCATGCATGCAGCGAGATAGATTTCGAGAGGAGATCGAGGAGCATTGGCCAGGAAGGGCGAGCAGCAGAAGACGGCCCTCCATCGGAGAGCCTGAACCTTCTCCACCGAGCTCCCCTAAAGCTAAACAGGCAGTCATCGGCTCTATTTGCGGTGAAATGGGTGGCAGCTATTCCGGAGCAGGCGATGCCCAAAGCTCCTCCGGCTGGCCCTGCTGCTTTGTCACAGGCTCTACAGAGTCAGCAGCCCAGAAATGTGTAGCCGAGGGCCGTCTTTCCATTCAAGCAGCACGAGTGGAACACCCTTGTTTTGGGTGAACCCCCAGCAACCACACTTGCAACACGGGGTGCACACGATGCGGAGCCTCGTGAACAGTACATCTCAGGCCAGACGAGAGCATGCGCACCGCGACGTCAGCGACGAGGCCCTTGCACCAGTGGGATCGCTCAATTCACCGGCTGAGAATGGAAGCCTTGATGGTTTAGGGCTTGTCAAGGCGACCTGTATTAACCGAGAGTTGCTGAGGGTCGGTACATTGATGCAGCGCATCTCATACTCCGAACCTGCGAAGCTCTGCCTTGTTCAGAAGTTCAGGCTTTTTGGGACTCGGGACCAGGACTTCCAATGCATGCTCAAATTCGAGGGATGTCAAGTTGTGATGTGCAGTACACGTACGTTTCTTTGCGCAAAACGCGAGCCTGGTCTTATCTATGCTCCCTCAGTCCTGTACAGTCTCAAAACATGTTCAGATTCCAAGTTCCAAGCTCCTTGAGACGAGTGTCAAGCAGTGTGAGGGTGGAAGCACAAGGATCCCCGTCATAAGCATTGTCCCTTAGTTTGGGTTGAGTTGCAAGCCATGAGAGTCCAATTTAAGACCCCCATTCTGAGAGCACCTCCAGATTGCAATGCTTCTATTGCCTGCGCTAGCAGCACAGGCCGGGCCCCACCCACACCGTCATCTGCGCCGGCCGGGATGTTGGACTTCATATGAGTCGTTCGGAGTGATCTTGTCAGCAAGTAGAGCTACATCCAGTGTCCAGAGTCTTTTGGTGTTGTTTGTGTCGGGCTCCGAACGGCGCAGATTCGGAAGACTTGCTTGCTAATGCTCCCCATTCATGCAAAAACGGCTGCGTCTGGCATCATAGTGTCGTGGCAGTAGAGTCCTCAGCATGTCGTGCATCTAGATCGGCTGGTGGTGTCTGGTCGAAACGCAGCTCGCAGTCATGGCCCAAGAAAGAAGGCTACAAAGCTAGCCGATCATTCAGCTATGGGTGAAAAACGTCCCATGCGCAAGCTTGGCGCTTTGGCTTTGGCTCACCCCTGAGACGGTTCGGGGTCCGGGAGGGAGGGCCCTCCTCTCCTCAAACTCGCCTGCAGACGAAGGCCGGCTGCTGTGTTTGCTTGACAGCGCATCTGCGAGCTGTGCTCTCAGCTGTTCACCGAGAAGTCGAGCGTATATTCTTGCCAGCCTGTCTTGCGGACGCTCAGGTGGCCTTCATCCCAAGCAGTTCGCCAATCGTCAGAAGACGACTGCTGCTCACCCAGGTGCAAACACAAGTGGTAAGAACTGTGGCAACGAGAACTTGTTGCCAGTCAAACGAAACGATTACCAAGGACTCGGTTTGATGAGGGAAGGGGATTAACAGTGCTCCCGACTTCCGATCTCCTTCCGATGACGACAGCGACTGCGACTTCTGCTGCTGCTACTACTGCTGCTACTGCGACTACCACCGCTACATCTGCAACTACTGCTACTGATACTGCTACTGCTGCTGCTTCTGCAAAAACTACAATACGACGACGACTACTACGACTACTACGATGAGTGAGACCCTACGGCTGTACGACGACTAGGCCACGCTGGGCTCTGCTTTGCTGCCGGCCAGCACACATGCAGAGGACCGTGGGCCATCGCCCCGTCACCTATGAGATTCAGTTCCTACAAGAAGAACTGGTCTGTCGCGGTTGACATCTCGTGTTTGCCGTGGTCAATTGCATTCGCAAGTTCGCCAGGAGCAACCGAAGGAGCAGGTCAAGAGATTGGCAGTAGTCGAAACTTATCCACCGCTGCTTGGCTTACAGGCCCACAGCACGCGGCTGTGTGACATGCCTCCATGCTGATTTCATGCCAAGAGAGTCCAATGTGCTGCTTTCCGCTGTACTTGAGATCCTAGCGGCACAGCGATGAAATCGTGCACATAATTTACAGAGCATGTGTGACGTGTACTCATCGGTCAACACATCCGGGGCAAGGTTTGGCTCGCTGGTGCCATTGACAGGCGTGTTCTCGCTGGCGCAGACTGCAGCACGGATTACTGAATCTGCCCCAGCTTCGGTGCCAGGTCTGCTTTCGAAAAGTTTGCACAAGAATGACTAAGTGCTCGTAAGGCACCTGGGGAGCTCCCGGGAATGTCAGTACGTTTCGGCAAGCTTACCAATGATGACTTGGATGCATACCGCTTTGTGTGCACCCAGCGCCTGTGATGAATTAATGTTTGGAGGTCGTGTCGTGTACATGATGGTGCAGGGTCGCGTTGTGTCGTCATTTGCTGACAAGGTACATTGGACTTATAAGATATGCTGACCCGGATGAGAAGGCTCGGACGAAGTGATACGTGTTCTGCTGTACCAAGCATGCAAAGATGGACGAGCCAGGTTGTTGGGTATGACAAAGCTGGGCGGTTCAAAGCCTGCGACGATGCCATTGCAGCGGTGGCTCGTGCACGCGATGTCCTCAAGAAGACAGATGCCAAGGCCAGAGGCGAAGCATACATGGGAGTTTCCGAAAATTTGGGCGTACCTCATTTAAATTTGGACTCCTTATAATAAGGATCCTACTCTTTAGGGTGCTATATTAGGGGCCCCTATTTTCGAAAACTCCCACATCTTGACAGGTTCAAGTCCATCCGCGTCTACCATTCAACTAAACGGCAGGACGACGCGCAGAAGGCTGACGTGACAGCCTTCCAGAAGGAGGCCGAAACACGAAGGAGACATACCATAGCCGCCATAGTACCCGTTTTGATGCTTGTAGAACCTTGTATGTATGTCTGACGGTAAATATCGAAAGCATCTGGGAGGTGTCTGCGATTGGTGTGAACCTGGCTGGCTTCTTTGCATTGATTCCACAGGCCCATGTCGTCCCTGGCTATGTGGAGTATAGCATAGTGCAGAAGTAGCCTCTCCAGTCGAGTGCCGGCCTATGCAGCTCCAGCCTCCAGCCTGGTGCGAAGGGCGACTTCGTGAAAGCCTTGTCGCTGTCGCAGAAGCTTAGAAACATGGATACTGCACCGTGGCATTGTTAGATCACGTCGGGCCACGGTCGGATGAAGCACTTTGGGGAGACGCTGTCGCAATGAACGTGAGGCATAAAATATTACAAGAAGCTACGGCAGCCAGGAGACGGGAGACAGAGAAGCAAACTGTCCAAGGACAAAGACAACCAGCTGTCGGAGGAAGAAGTCGCAACTGTCCGATCCGGCATGAAGCCCTTGGCACAAGATGTCGCATGCTCAGTGGCAGAGTATTCACTAGCAGGCAAAATCGCACCAGTTGAGCCGTACCTGCAGCTTGTATTTCGAGCACCATGAGTTGAGGATGCAGATATTGTCGCAGCTCTGAGGAAGTTAGGAGCTGGTAGACTCTTGATTCCATAGTCATGGATCTTCGTTTTCTGAAGTGGGAAAGAAAGTCTTTGCTTCAGGGCCTGCGATGATGCTGCTCGAACATTTTCTTTAGTTCAATTAAACCTTTCCCCAAAATATACGGAATGATTCTAGGCTTCCAATTTCTTATATTAGCAGGATGTCGGGTGGTTTCAGGCTGCACTTTTGAGCGATTTTCTGAAATTCGAGGAAATTCGGGTCACCCCCCGCCTCCGGAGTATTGTAATACGAGTAAATGCTGACTCTAGAAGGCTCTGCGGGCTGCGGCGCGTGTTTTGGATTCTCCCCCTCCGCTGACTCTAGATCGCTCTGCGGGATGCAGCGCGCGTTTTGGAGTCCCCCTGCTCGGGAAGATTGCGCGACTAAACGCTGATTCTAGATTGCTCCCTGGGATGCGGCGCACGTTTGGCCCCCCCCCTCAAAAAAAACAAAAGTTGATTCTCTCCTGCGGAAGATTGTAATACGACTAAACGCTGACTATAGAAGACTCTGCGGGATGCTGCGCAGATTTAGATCTCCCCTCTCCGGAAGATTAGCACGATTCAACGTTGATTCGTCTAGAGTGCTCTACAGGATTTAACGCAGATTTCTCTCGCTCGGGAAAAAATATACGACTAAATCTTGATTCTAGATCGTTCTATGGGATATGGCGCATGTTTTGGATTCTTCGCGTGTCTGGAAGATTATCATGAATTGAATACTGATTCTCGGGCTCTCGGGAAATATTAATACTCTTTCTCGAAGATTATAAATTTTGATGATAATTCTAACGTTGCGCGGCCCGTCTCGGCCGGCGGCTCCAATAGTGCCAGCAGCGGCGCCCAGGGCAGGAATGGGAAAGGAGAATCGAAGGGGAAGAGTAATGGAAAAAATACGCGAGCGAAAGTACCGGGAAGATGGAAAACTGGTGGGGGAAGATGGAAAAGATATAAAAGGTAGATAAAATGAGAAAGAAGTGGGGTAGAAAAGGGAAGGAGGGAGTTTGGGGTAGGAAAGCAGCGGGAAGATGAAAAAAGGAGAAAAGGGCAAGGACGGTTAGAAGCTACTGGAGCAAAGGGTAGGAACACAACAGGAAGATGAAGGAACGTCAACGAGTAAGAAAGGAAATCAAAGCGGAGAAATACTGAAGAAATGAGCACGCGAACGAAGCGCAGGAAAGAAGGATGGAAAATACGAGGGTCAAAAATTAGAATAGGGTAGGAAGGGGCAAGGAGAACCAAAGGAGAAGATTAATGGAAAAATACGTGAGTGAAAGTAGCGGGAAGA